GGCAGATCTTTCAATTTATGTGAAGAGCCTCCCGTTTGCCTGTGGTTCTGCAGAGCTTCCCAACTCTGTGGGCTGCAGGTGGGAGTGGGGAGCTGACCGGCAGAGGACCTTTGGTGGTTCCCCTGATTATCAGGCCTCCTCCTCAATCCTCTTCTTACTCGCCCTCTCCAGGCCCAGAGCCTCCCTGGGCTTCCACATTTCCAGTGGTGCTTTCTTGTCCTTGTGTTCTTAACTTTATCTTCTGTGATCACGCCTCTAAGAACCTTTCTATCTTTGAGAAATTATTTGAAATGAAATCCCTTGTTCTCTAATGATTCTCCCCCAAGGGAAGAAGCCTAATTTGTAGTTTAAAAGACATGATATCTTTTCTTTTAAGCTTGCTATTGCTTTACCCCAACCTGGACTACCCAACGTGTGTGTGTGTGTTTAGGAAATATTTATTGAGTTTCCTATCGTGTACCAGTGAACAAGGGAGACATGCTATTGACCTGATGGAGCTTACAGTCTAGCAGAGAAACACAGAACACGTATTTACAGTAATGTAAAGGTTTACAAGAGGGGAAATAGGCCCATACAGCCATGGTGGAGCTAACTTCATTAGAGGCAAGACCTCCATAAGGAAGTGACATTTAATCTGAGATCTGATTATCGAGTAGGAGTTAACCAAAACAAGAGGGAGAGGCCAGTCAGGTTTGTATTTCAAAGTGCAGTGGCAAGAGAAAGCCTCAAACCCAGAGCAGGTTTTCCTGCTGTTAGAGCACCAGGCTGTGCAGCCTCAGGAAATCCCCTGCCTTCTCTTGGCCTGGCATTCCTCACCTTCAAAATGAGACCACATATTCTTTTCAGCTGTAAAAATGAATGTATTAAGATTGGTTAAAATTAATTCAAGAGTGGAGATCCCATCTCTCCCAAAACTGCCCCAATCTGAAACCTTTCTCTTGTTGGTGGGACGCAGTCTGAAAAGAGTCAGGGAGGGGTAGTGTGGTGTCCTGCGAAAGTACCCGTTTTCTAGGTGCGCGCTCACTGAGATCTGGCTCGCTTCTCCTGCAGCTATCCATCAGGCCCCCTGCATCAGCGGCAGGCTGAGGAGGACCAGAAGGTGGAGCCTCAGGACATCAAACGCTATAGGCAAAGCAGCCAGGTGTACTCCAAAATTAAAAAAATGTGTGTGTGTGTTTTTGTGTGTGTGTACACACACATGTATGTTTACAGACACACACATATCTATCTCAAACATTTCTTTGGTGGAGTTGACTCCTCTCTGCCCTGAGTGACTTAGTTGTGATTTCAAACATTGTTTTGAGTATAGATGTGGTTCTTTCTGGGTCCATACCCCAGGAGGTTAACTGGTTACTTCTGGGAGGTAGGATAATAGATGATTTCCCACCCTCTTTTCTTGCTCTTCTGTATTTTCCTATTTTCTACATTAAACAATTATGGTTATAATTGGAAAGAAAATAAAATCTACATTTATTATTAGTCAATATGCTTCTCAATTATGTCTAGAAAAAATGGGGACTTGCTAGCAGTGTGGCATAGTGAATAAGTGAGTTTGAAATGCCAGGACAACTGAAACCCACCTTCAATAGGGGGAAAAAAGCGAATTGCATTTTATAGCAACTATTTGGACTAGGAGGTTGGTAATGGTAGCCAGATTTTATTCATTCATACACTCCTTTCAACAGATATCTGTCTATTACTAGCTAAACAAGTTATTCAATTGATCGGTGTCTGGAATTTCTTCCTGTGTCAAGTGGAGCCAATATTATACCTACCTCAGGATCCTTGTGGGGTTAAAATGAGTTGATTTATATGAAGCAGTTAGAATATTATCTGGCATATGGTAAACATTCAATAAGTTTTTATTACTTGTGGCATTTCCTTATTTTAATAAGTTCTCATAATACGTACAAAATGCTTATAAATTAGACACAGATCTTTTCCTTAAGAAGCTCAGATTTTAGTGGTAGAAACAGATAAAGCACTAAGGAAATTCGGAGGGAGAGACCCCTTCCAGACAGGGGATGAAGGGCTGGGAATTCAGGGTAGCCTTGTGGTGAAGGGGCTGAGCCTTTCAGCTTAGTTCTGGTCTCCGAGGCAGCCAAGGATTGCTGTATCCTCGAATGGAGCCCACACTGCTGGCTGGGAAAAGCTTCCAGCTTTCCTTCAGGGAAACCCTTTAAAAGGCACTAGAGTCAAGGACTTAGGAATACAGGCCTGGCATCAGACAGTCCTGGCTTGGGGCATAGGCTCTGTCACTTATTCTGGGGAACCTTCAAACAAGTTGGTCAGCCTCTGCACGCATCCGTTTCCACAACCAGAAGATGAGAAGATTAATAGTGTCTCCTGCCCCTGGTTGTAAAGATATCATCAAGTGTTCAGTACAGAGTGTGGCCAAAGTCTGCAGCTTAGTGTGTCTACCGTTGTCAGAAGGCAAAACGAGTGTGATGTGTTGTCAGAGTTCTCTCGCCCTGGATTCTGTCTCAGATGTACAGTTACTCAGTCTGCAAGGCAGGGGTTACAAAATACTTGTTGAAGAAAATAACAGTCTTTGTTTTTATGAACAGGCTCCTTACTATTATTTTGTTTAAGAAACAAACCTGATTCAAAGCACTGAGGGTGATGTCAGTAAACTGACCAGTCAAGAGCCCTGCTTCATTTCCTGACGCCCACTTAAGTCATAGCCACACAATGGTCCCAGCCTCCAGTTCCTCCAAGCCAAGAGTGTTGATGCTGAGAAGATGCCTGACAGCTGTCAATGGGCTTTGCTCCTTCCTCATCCCGACTTCTAGAGAAATACCGGGCCCTTTGCCAGCTTCCCAACATTCGGGACATTTTTCACTCATGGTCACATCATCCTCAGGGCAGAGGATGGTGATACTGAGTCAGAATTAGAACATAATGTCTTTAGGATGTTGCAGTTTATTTTTGTAAATATTTTTTACTGTGTAGCATATCCCAGGCACGCACTTCACACAAAAACCTTGAAGGGTAAATGCTATTATTCTTCTAATCTTGTATGGGGAAACCAAGGCACAACAGGGTAACTTGCCCAAGGTCATACAGCTAGAAGGTCCAGGGACAGGAAGTAAATGCAGGTCCCTCTGAGCTGTTAACTGCTGCTCTCCCTGGGTGACCAGGCTGGCATTCTTTTTATTCCACCTAGTCCCACACTAACTCATGCAAAAGCCTGTGTAGATTGGCAGACTCCTTCTTAACGTATAGCCTGTTTGCTTGGGTCTCTCCTGATTAGCATCAAAGTTTTCTGAGAACTAATGGAAATTCTTGTTTAGTCACAAACTACTGCAGCCTTACCCCCACCTGTAAAAAGCTGCTTCTTTCCCGGTAGAACTTCAGTCCCAACCTCCCATCCGGGTAGCTGTAAGACAAATCAGATCTGCCTCTGGGGGAGGGATGATTGAAGCCCAGACTTGCTTCAGGCCACACAGTATTTGAAAGCAAAGTAGATAAGCACCTCCAGCTTACCTGGTGGCCCAAAGGGGTTCCTCTGGGCAGCAGACTGACTCACTCTCCTTGCCCCAACCTGGCTAAACCCAGGAAAACTTTCCCTCCCACCTCTTCCCCTTTTGTTTTAATTAAGCTTTGCTCTGTCTTTCTAAACAGAAATGATCCTATTTGGAAATAAGGACCAGGCTTGGTGGAGTAAACATTTTAGGTAGCATTAGCATGTGTGCGGCATGTGTGCTGGCCTAAGGAGGACTTAAAAGACCCAGTTCCCACATCTGGCCCTTTCATCCTGAGCTGTGTGACCTTGGGTATGTCACTTCACATCTCTGTTTCATTTTCCTATCCAGGAAAAGGAGATTATTAATGCATTCCCTGGGTCCCCAATTCTCCTAACATGAGAATCATATGAGATTATGTACGACAATGACCACCTGCGAACACTTAGTATGTGCCAAATACTTTCAGTTTCCTTATCTGTGTTATTTAATTCTCACAGCCCTACAATGAAGGCCCTGCTACCCTATTTTATAATTAACAAAAACAAAAGCCAAGGTCAGAGAAGATCGGTCGTACAGAGCTCAGATCCACATGTCTGGCTCCCAGAGTAATGCGTAATCACTATACATGTCAGGCTGCTTCCCAGTGTAAACAGTAGAGGGGTTTTAATTGTCTTCCCCATCAAGCACTGGACAAATGGAAGAGATGGTTACTGTCTCTTGTAGCCGCCGCCCTTCCCTGTTAGTGCCTGAGGACAGCTACATTCTCTTGCTTCTCTGTCTTATCTAGCAGTTGATGCTGCTTCTTGCCATGCCCCCCTAGGACTTGTTCAACAAATTCTTTGGGGTTTTCTCCCAGAGAAACAGTTCAGCGCCTCTATACAGGGCATTGAGCCGTGGCCTCTGCCCCCCTCCAGGGTCCTTCCTCCCTCAGGCATGTGGTCAGCCAGCCTGTGGTAAAATTCCTCAGGTTATGTTTGTTGATAAGCTCCTCGGTCACTGAATTTCAGAAGTTGAAGACAGCAAAACCATGGTTTTATTGTTGGGGAAACTGAGGTCCAGGGAGAGAGGGGTGACTTGCTTGAGGCTATTCATTCAGTTAGGAATGTGGCTGACCAAGACTGGAACCCAGTTCCCAGGCAACGGTCCAGTGCTTGTTCTGAGCCTGTCGTGTGGGCATGTTCCTGTCCCCTAAGTGAAGGACAGACTCACACACTGCGTCCAGTATGCGCCTAGGAAACTATGGAGAAATTAAACAACTTGGAAAGTTGAGCAGGAACAAAGAGCTGGAGGTGGGGTGCAGATATCCACCCTAACTAGTACATTATACACCAAGGAAGTGAATTATAACACAGCAAAGCGAACCAGATTAGGTAGCCCACAGTCAGCAGTGATGACAAGGCATAGGGATTTACGCCGGGAGCCCAGTGAGTGGATAGGAAGCCTTTTGTCACCAAGGCTGCAGTGTTGAAAATCGAAGGAAGGATGTTGGGCAATTGTGCCGGGCCTGGGATGCAGCTACAGCCCCCGGCTCATTGTCCAAAGGAAATGGATCTCTCCCGTGGACTAAGAGGTGGAAACTGAGCAAGGGAGCTGAGTGGTTGACATCATCAGGCCGAGCATTGGGTTACAACAAATGGGGACTTACTTGGCCCGAGACATGGGAAACACCCACTAAAACCTCGAAGTGCTTTTCACTTGGGAGACTCGGAGAGGGAGAGAGAAAGGGCCAGAGAGTCCAGCCTACACCCACCGGCCTGGTCTGCTAATCTTCCCCTCCAAAGGGAGGCATAAATACTACCTTCACTTGTCACTGAGGACCACACGACTTTGAAGAAACTCTCTGCTCTTGTAAGTAGAACTTTATTCTCCGCCACTGCCCCCACCCCCAGGGAGACCAGAGCTTGGAGGCGGTACTCTCTGGAGAGCTCTGCTCGCTTTCTAGCCTGTTGGTCCCAAAGTGTCTATTTTTATGTCATGATTATTATTGCTCTGAAAATTATGGCTTTGTCTGAAACCGCCTCAGGCTAGAGTCTGAGCTCTAGTGTCACAGATGGACTCCGTTCAAATGCTGTTTTACTTTTATACCCCAAGAACTTGGACAGATTATTGAGAGCTTTAAAAGCAGTGTTTTACCTCAAATATAGGTGAAGAAATAAGTCCTTCCTTAGAAATTGGTGTTTGTAAAGCCTTTGGTTTTTTTATTTAGTTTTTAAGGTTTTTAGTTTTAGTTTAAAAACCTTTAGTTTTTTCTAATTGACAAAGTCGGTACAAAAAAATTAAAAACGTTCTAGAGAGAAATGTCTGTGAAAATTCCCTCTAACCTTCTTACAAATAGAAGATTGATATTTTAATGTAAGATACAGATAGGGTTAGATTTTGTGACGTCCTGTCGTCACACAGCCCCAGTGCTCTCGTAGCTGCTTGGAGAACTCCAGGATGGAAAGAGGCATTGAACGTCTTTAACTTGGTTTGTGACCTTGTCATTGCTTCCTTTTTAAAATTTGCTGTTTACACCTAGAAAATAAACAGAACGTGTAATCCTTTTATTTGTTGGGGCCTGTTCTTAGGATTTTACACTGAGCCAGACACTGTGCCAGAGAGGAAGGGAGGGGCCTTTTCGCCCCAGGCTGCAGGCAGTGGGAGCCTGAGGTGAGGGTTCTCCTGTAAGCTTGAGATAAGTTTGCAGCTGCTGTGTGTGACCCGCCTCCCCTGCTAGCAGGTAAAAGTAGTTGAAAAATCAGTTAAAGGGGAAAGACTTCAGCTTTAAAAAACAAAGAGCCACCATGTAATAGAAGGGTCACTCAAGGAAACTATGCAAGTGTTTCACACTCTGTGGGACTCTGTTTCCTTTTTTGTACCTAAGTGAGGTGGTGCAACCAGATAGATGATCACTCTATTTCTAAAACTAGCTTGAAATGAGTCATCATCTGTTGCTGGGCAGCTGTGTCTAGGGAGCTCTCTCCCTGCACACCAGGTGAAACCTCAACCTGGGCGGGGGAGGGTTCTTGACTCTGAAGGAGAAAGAATTCTCAAGCAGGTCAGATGAGTGTAGGTAAGCAAGGAATCCATTAAACAAGAGCAGCAGAGAATGGCAGCAGCCGTACGGGCAGCAGAGAGCAAGAGAGAACAGAGGGAGGAGAGGGAAGCTCATTGAACTCCTGCTCAGCAGATCCCTTGCCAACTCCTGAAGCCAGGGTCACCTGGCATCCAGTGTCCACTGGGATCTGCATGGCATGGGAACTAAGTCCCTACCACCCCAGGATTTGGGGAAGCCACCGAGCACTGGATAGAGGGAGAGTATGTTTTGAGAACTTCCCAAAGGCAAAGAAAGGAGATTTTCAGGCAGGCTACTAAAGAGTATGATCGTACAGCTGCAGTCCTGTCCAGGTCACCCAGGTGACGGACACTTGCAAGCCCAAATCAGTGACCTCAGTAGCCCCTCCCTACTTACCTCGAGTAGGACAGAAAGAGCAAAGACTTATACTTAAGTCTGGAAAATAGAGTGAAATAGCAAAGTAACAAAAACACTTACTAGAGAAGAGTGCAGAGAAAAAATGCAATTAGTTGAGCAGTTAGAAGGCTTTATTTAAAAGGTACACACACTCAAAGAAAAGGGAGTGCAGGCAACGTCAGAGAGGAGGTGCACTTAAGGGCTTAGGATTCTGTCTTTTAAGGCTTTCAGGAATGGGGCAAGGGGGGGTGGCGGGAGTTGTTGGGTGTAGGCTTAACTTGTGGTCTCAAGATGTCTCTCTCCAGTGAGACACATTATGTCACTGTCCACAGTCAGTTCTCCAGATAATTCTGTAAGATAAACTTAACACAAGGAATTTATTGCTCTGGTTCCTTTCCAAGATAGTGGTTTCCCTCAAGCACTGAGAACATATCAGTTAAGACTGCTTGCCCCGCCTTAAGATAGGGTGGGTTATTGTCTGATTACTAAAGAATATGTTAGGAATCTTGCCTCCTGATTCACTGGCTTTTAAAATGGAATCTTAGCCTTAAGATGGAGTCTCTCCAATTCTTACTGTACTGTTTATATCTTGGCATTTTTCATCATAGGCAGAAAAAGTTAATCATGGTGCTTGTCATGTGCCTGCCCTGCTCCACGTCATATCTCCTTCCCCTTTGAGGAGAGCCCTGAGGGCTTGAGGAGCCAAGTCTCCTTGGTTTTCTGCATCCCTGGGAGGCTCAAAACTGGTGCCTATAGGTCAATTAGAAGAGGACATAAAATAGGCAACACTAAGCTACTGCTGAGGTGTCATAGTTTTGTCAGGTTTGGCGTTCCTGGAGAATAAGTCTCAGTGTGTGTGTGCGTGTAAGCAAACACACGATGGGGAGGGAAGAGAAAAGAGAGCGACATTACTGAGCGCCCCATAAGCACCAGGTTCCACATTGTGCTCACCTTTTACATAACACGAGGTAGCCAGTGTCATTATTTCCTAACTCCAGGGACTGAGGGTGAATCTCCACTACTTGCTCCCATACTATCCTGAACTCCTTCCTAGTTTACCTGAATGTGCTTACGTGATTACCGGCAGAACTTCAGTCCCCTGTATCTCCGCTGGGCTGTGTCCACCCTCTCGTCTCGTCCATCACTATAACCCCATTACCCGGTCGAAAACCTGCATGTAAGTGCAGAGAGGACACATCGTGCTCAATTTTAACTTTAAAGTCCACCATCTTAGTTCCTTGCTTGACCAAAGAGAGGGAGGAACCTGTTTGCCCTCCTTGATTTCATCTAGATGTGGCCTCCACTGCTTCAGGGAAAGAACGGCCAGAGCAGAGTACAAAGAAAGCAAAAGAGGGTGTCAAATCTGGGATTTTGAATTTCCAGGTTTCCAGGTCTTGGCAATTTAAGGGGTCTTTATCTTTAAGGCCACCAGAGACCCTAACCCTCAGAAGATGCAGTATTTGAGAGCTGAACTAAGATCACTGGTAACCAGAGGTCTCTTGAAGCCCCTTGGTGCACTGGAGAGCCATGGTCCTCCGCAGCCAAGCCCTTTGAAAGCAGACTCCTGCTGCTGTGGCACCGCTCGTGGCCGTGGGCTGTGCGCCTCCACCTCTGCCTCACCGCAGCCTCCAGGATCTCGAGTTGTCTAGTTAAAAGGGTCGTCTCTCTTCCTAAGGTGGTGATGAGATATTCTGCAAGAAAGGTACCTGGTTTGGTTTTTACTTTTGTTAGAATTTGAATACCTTTAGGCGTGTGTGTTCTACAGTTTAGTACCATCTGTGCCATTCACTTCTTGGTCTGTTGTGCCCTCTAGTCTCTTGCCTGTCTCTCTGCGCCTGTAGGCATTTGCATTTGCTACCCCTGGGCTAGTTGGTGTCCACAGTCCCTGTCACTTTAGACATTCTAGGATTCAATGAGAAGTTGGGGGGAGGGTAGCAGGTAAGAGCTCTGCCCTCCTCACTCCCCACTGACACATCTTGAACAGATTACCTCCCCTCACAGAGCTTGCTTCCCTTCTGTAAAGTAGGGGTCACAATTATACCTACCTTACAGGGTCCTTGAGGGTGAAATAAGACAAAATTTGTAATGCACTTAGTTGGCACAAAAATACATACTGGGGATTAGCAGCTTTATGGTTTCCAGAAAGAATGTTAGCCAGCATGCCCAGGCCCTGCCCCCTCAGGCATGGGATGGCATTTGTATGAGGAAGCTGAAATCATCCTGGAACTCACTGATGCTGAAGCCCTTGTGATGGGCCTGGCGCGGGCGGGCCAGCTCTTTAAACCACGCCTCAGCACCGTTTCCTGTCACCCAGGCAGGTGCAGAGGCCAAAAGCAGAAGTGGGTGCTGTTCTCCTGGGACCAGAGAACCCTGGCCCAGCCACTCAAGGATGAAGCAGGTGGCAGGTGTTATTTTCTAAGTGTGCCAAGAAGCCAAGCTCACCCAGTTAACTTTGAGTGTTTTCACGAGGGGCCAGAGTGATTCTGAAGTGGAGACAGGCGTGGAAAATCTGAAGTTCTTGGAAGCAAGTCATTTATCATAACCCAGGGCTGAGTGCACTACCTCCTGGAAATCTTTCAGAAATGCCTTATGACAACTTTGAGTACCGCTCCTTCAAAGAGTCATTACTTTGGTGAGTGATTCTGAAGTGCAGATTGAAATGCATCTGCACTTACGGGAGAAGCTAGCATTTCTAACTCTATTTAAAAGAAGTCTCCTCAGTATTCTAAGAAATTATTCTTCAACTTAGCTTTTCTGAACTGAATAATGGACCTTCAAGGCACTAGAGAAGTGAAGTGTTTGGTAGATAATGCATTTTCATTATGTCCCAGGAACCTGGGTCAATCATTACACTTAGTACGTTATAGGTGTGGTCTCTGATGCTCAGTTAAATTACACCAAGGGCAGACTGATACTAAGCATGAGGCTAGAGAAACAGGTGATAAAGGGACAGGCTCTGACCTTGTGCAGTCCTTGGTGCATAAGGGGACAGGCAGGTGAATGAATCATCAGAGTGGATCAGCATCTAGTGGATGGAGGTCCTCATCTTGAGCTGGTTGGTTACCCCCATACTTCTCCATTTCCTAATTCTCAGAACTTCACCAGCATTTGCATTAAGGAGAAATGAGAGCTGCCCTGCTGAAGCTTTCACTCCTGGCACCTTCCTATCCCCCATGGCTTCCAAAAGGAACTCTGCCTCCCAAATGACAGGAGCCCCAACTGTAGATGCCCCCGAACCTGCAATCCCAAGTTTAGTAAGCAAACGAAGGGAGGGGTGATTTTATAGTCCAAAGTCACCACTGGATTTGCCATTGGTTTGTTTTTATAACATTTATTGTGATGGGGTTTGTGTTTGTGTTTTTTAGGGGGCTATTTTATTACAAATTAGAATATGTTCAAGGAAGGAAAGTTAGACAGTACAGAAAAACATACTTAAGTAAGCACCCAGTGAGTTCATTTCTGTGATTTTTAATAAGGCATGGCTAGGTCAAAGAGCATGACCTTTTTTAGATCTCTGATACAATTTCCAGTTTGGCACCAGAAAGTTTCTGCCTGTGTAGAAGTAGCTGCCACTAGCAATACATGCTTGTCCCCGCTACTTCTCTTACCTGCACACTACCGCCACATTTCAAGTTGAGCTCTGATTTTCATTTCTCCTGGGCAGTCTCTGCGTATCTCAAAGATGCTCATGTTCTGTGCTGCAGTCCCCTGGATGGAAGAATCCTTTATTGGGGGAGGGGGAGCTGCAGCCCTTGTTTGTCCTTTCCTGCATGTGTGCATGAATTCATTCACTGTGAAGAACCCTCTACATGCTGGGCATGGTGCAGGGTGCCTTGGGAAATACCAAGGTATGTAAGCCTTAGAAGTAGCTTACAGCTTAATAGGAAAAAGACTCAGATAACCCAACACATGTGTTTATTATGTGCCCTGCGAGAGGGACAGTGCCTGAGAAAGTGGAGGGACAGTAGCCTTTGAGTGGAGCCTTCAATTCACTTCAATACATTTTTCATGTATTCAGCCACTATTTACTGAGCACTTGATATCTGCCAGGCACTGGGCAAGGTGATAGGTGGACATTATTACATAAAGCAGGCATGGTCCTTCGTCACACAAAGCTTACAAGGACATACAATGGTGCTATGAAATAAACAGGGTCAGTGATAGATGACAGAGGAGGCATGTGGTCAGGCCAGGCTTTTGAAGAGGTGTTGTTTAAACAGAGATCAGGAGTCAGTCATACCAGGAGCTAAGGCTTGATGGGGTACAACTTTGTGGGTGATATTTGCTTTGTGGAGATGGATTGGGGGTCAAGAGCTGAACAGGGTAAGGGGCCTGTGGCAGTCGTTAAGGGGAGAGATGACTGATGTTGGTGAGGACTAGAGGATGTGGGAGGAGTTGAAAGAAGAAGAAGGATTTGAGAAATTTAGTGGCTTCTAGTCTGTGCCGGCTGCAGGGCTGGGCCCTGAGGGCATAGGGATAGCATGCTGTCTCTCAGGGCTTTAAAGGTCTAGCATCATTGGAGTAGAATGTGGTTGGGCAGAGAGAGGAGCATGGTTTCTTTAAAGGGGATTTCCTTCCCTTATTCAGCAGTTATTTTCTAGTATATGCGCAAAGTTTCTCTCTGAGGTGGCACAGAATATTACTCCCAGTCTATAATTTTTTCATAAGGGGCAGGAAGAATCTGTTACTCCCAAGAACCTGTTTTTACTGATAGGCTTGCCTATAGTTCCCCTTCCTCTGTGACTTCAGACCTGAGCTCCTAATGGACTTGGGGTTTGGAGACCTGAGTTTGTATCTCAGCTCTGTTCCCAACTTGAGGTGTGACCTACAAAGATCCTTAACTTCTCTGGGCCTTATTTCCTCTGTAAATGGAAATGAAACTAACCTGGTCCTGATCAAATAAGAAAAAGTATCTTAAAGTGCTTTGTGAAATGGGAAGTGCTGTAGAAATGTGAAGAATCATTATTATTTCGATGAAATATCATCAATGAGATAACCAAAGTTAAGAGCAGAGCATTCCCAGGAAGAGCCGCGTATGCTTTCCAGGTAACCGGGCAATGGTAGACTGAGCGTCGGTAGCTCTCCTTCAGGAGCTTGTGAGGGCTGTTCTCTGCTTTTCTCTTTTATTTCATCCACTGGGATAAACTGTTTCCTCTGCTTTCTTCTTCCATAAGAATGGTTTGCAAAACAATCCATTGCGTTCCTCTAGATTGCAGGACCCGTTGGATACAGATGCCAAAGCATGTACTTGGAGGCCAGGAGAACCTTGTGAGCAGAGCTGCTGAGCTGCCTGTGCAGGGCTTTCCTTCCCAGCGGAGAGACGCTCCCCGGAGTGTTGGCTATTTAATTGGGTTTGGGGGAGGAAGACACTCAAGGGCACCGAGGCACAGAAAGCAGTCAACATCACCGAACAAGCCCACGTGTCACCCTAACAGGGCAGTTTCAAGCCAAAGCTTTAAGCCTTCTTTTGGATTTTTAAGGGGGAATTTTTTTAAACGAGATTTTATCTCCCTTTTTAAATGAAAGGCATAAATGTTTAGGAAATAAAGTGCACTTTCTCCCTCCATGAAGCTTTTAAAAAAATTGTTTTCCAACTATTAAAATGATAGATTGATTGGAAAAGCTGTTCTATTTTGACCCAAAAAATAAAAGTAAGAAAAGCAACAGTGCAGTCTACCGTCCTATGGTAAGACAGATGGGTAGCTTGCCTGTTCACCACAGTTCTGTCTCTGCTCTCCTCTGCTTCTTTGTTATTGTATCTATTTTCTTCACTAATTTCCGCTAAAGTAATACTTGCGCTCATTGTGACCAATTCAACAGTTTGGGACACCCACCATCTCGGTTTTATTTTGTAACAAGCTGGTGGTGGAAAATGGTATCCCGTAGTTGCTTAATTTGTTTGTTCTTTACTACTTATGAGATGGAACATTGTTTCAAGGTACTTGGCCATTTCATGTTCCTCTTCTGTGAAGTTCCTTCACCCTTTTTTCTTGAATTGTTTGCCTTTTTTTCAACAAGTTGTAGGAGCTCCTTATAAATTTATATATTAAGGATTCCATATGTATTGCAAATATTTTTTCCCAATCTATTATTTGTTTATTAAAATTTTGTCTATTTTTCTTTTCATATTGTCTAGATTTCTTGCCTTGTTTAGGAATAATTTCCCCACCACAAAGTTATATGAATATTTTCTTAAATGTTCTAATATTTTTATGGTTTTAATTAATCCCTTTAGAATTTATGTTTGCACATAGTGAGAGGTAGCGGTCAGGTTTTGGTCTAGATATGTCAGCACCATTTATGAAATAAGCCATCTTTTCTAGTTTGCACTATAATCCCATCTCTGTTATAAATAATTTCCTTTATTGTATCTATTTCCGAACTTGCTATTCTAGAGTCTATAGACCTATTTATCTATTCTTATGTTACTACCATATCTCTTTGTTACAGTGTCTGCACAGTAAACTTTTATCTAATAAGACAAATCCCCTATTTATTTTTTATAATTTTCTTTATTATTTCTTAGCTAATTTTCTTGGGTATTTATTATTCTGTATGAGCTTTAAAGTAATTTTATCTAGTCCCTCCTCCAAAAACACCCTTGGTATTCTTACTGAAATTTAATTAAAATTACATAGACACTTTTGGATGATTAGACTTTTCGACCCTAAATCATGCTTAACTGGCTTGGTGCTTATGCACTCTGTTACTATATTTTGTTGTTTTTACCTTTAAATTTTTAATATGTAATGTTGTCTTGAGTAAAACAATATTTCTGTGTTTGTCCTGAATGATCAAGGACCTTAGGAAGTTTTCACTCTGATCTCTCTTCCATCTTCAGTGTTATAATTTTCAAATATATAATATTGTCAAATTTGTTTTTATCTCTCCATTCAGCTTTGTTTCACTCAATCAGTACTTCTTTAAATTTACCAATATACTTCCTAATTTTGTAATCTGTAAATCGCAAACTTGCCCAGTCTTTGTCTGAAATTATCTGTTGCCTTCATTCTTGATATTTCAGAATTTTAGACATATGTGTAATGATAATAAAAGTGATGTATGCCTCTTTTGAAGTTGTCAACCAAAACCAAAATAGTTAATGTAAAAAGTAAAAGTCTATAATTCCTTTTCCACCAGTTTCTGAGTCCCAGAGAGAAGCACAGTTTATAGATTGCTATTTGCCTTTTTCTATGTAGATACCCAAAAAAGTATGTACACAAATGCAGTTCTTTTTTCCAAGCATAAACAATCATGTTTATATTTTTTATTAAAAAGCAGTAATATTTACAAGTTTACACTACTTTTTAACAATAAAGCATGAACATTTTTCCATGTCAGTACAGCAAAATCTCATCCTTTGTAATAGCTACATAGTTTCTCAATATTCTCATGGTATTGATAACACCACAGTTTAACTCTTTTTCCTAGTAACAGACATTTAAGGTGTTTCCTCCTTTTTTTGCTATTACACAATAGCAAAACTTTTACTTCTGTGTTCATATCTATAGATAAGGTTCTCGGTATTTGACTGACCCAAAGGATGTGCACATTTAATGTGTTAATAGATATTGTTAACTTGTCCTCCCATTACCGCCCTAGGGTATGTCTGGCTCTGATCTTTGCTTTTCTTCTGGTTCTTTAGAATTTCCACACTGACTAGTCCACAGTGGGAAACCTGAAGAGATGCGAGCAGGAAAAAGAAACTAAACCAGGTGGGTAGTCACGTTGTTCCTGCTGTCCTGCCATAGCGTCACAGGTGCTGGCCTAAATACCTTTATTTCTGTTTGAAGAAAGAAAAGAAATAGGTTCCATATGAGACTAGGAATGTTGGTCCTATGAAGAAAAGGCAGGATGGCCCTTTTCGGAAGTTGTATAACATCACACTGCAATTTCACAGTCACGATTCCATTTTCAGACGGTTGCTTTATAGCATCAGAAAGACATTTTACCTCTGTTGGCTTCAAAGAGAATGGGTTTCTTCAGCCATCCACTTAGGCAGATGGAAGCCTACACAGGAGTTATTAGCAAACTTGGGCATGATGCCAGCCTTCCTCTCCACCAATGTTTGTTTTCATAAAAATGGGGGCGCATTATGGGAATTTTGATACTGTGACAGAGAAGCAAAAGCAAGCCCATAAAAAACAAGCACAGCCCACGATCTGAAGAGGAGAGCCTGTGTGGGTCCCTTCTAGTTGGAAGAAAATTGTAGTTCATAGAACGTGAGTAGCCCACCTGGAAATATGACCATCTTGGGTCAGTGTTCATATTTTTATGGTATTTAAATGTTTCTGGCATAAGTTAGTAATTTTTAACAGCCTCTGATCCATGGTTCATGCAATTTCCCCTACCCGCAAGCTGCCCATCTTCTTTCAGCTCTGTCTCCTTTGCACTTAGGGCAAAATTTCCAGGCTTTTTTCTGTCCAAGTCCTAGTAGTCCTGGGAGTTTGGGGGATGTCCAGCTCTTTGAACTCCCTCTCATGGCCTAGCCTGCCTCCAGTGCCACAACGAAGATTCCTCAGAGCTAGAGTCTCCTTTGCAGGCAGCTGCTCTGGGGTTAGAAATCCTCTGCTGCTTCTCAGCAAGGCTTCTGGGCCTTGGCCTGCAGTAGCTTCCTGAGCCACCAGGCCTGTTCTGACTCAGTGCTCCTGGGAATCCCCTGGATGCAGATGTTTGCAGCAATTAGGATGCGGCAGTCAGCTCCCAGGACTGTTTATCTGGCCAAGGCCGGTTGAGGTGGGCAAGCTTCCAAAGGACCTTCTGTTCCAGCTGCTGTGGGAGCATCAGGGCTCAGAGCCACTGAACCTGGAGGATGCTGGGGTTTTAACTAGGGTTTATGGTTGGCTTCTGGGACTCAAAATTCCTCATAATCATGGGTACAGTTTTTTTTTTTATGGGTACAGTTTTATGTATGTATACATGCACACATGTACATCTTCCTGGGCAAAGTGTCCATAGCTTTCCTCAGATTCTCAAAAGTCTGTGACCTCTGGGTTTTAAGAACCATTGGTCCGGAAAGAGCCTGAAGTGTTAACAGGCCGCTGTGTCCCCTTAGGCACCAGCCTCCTAGATGCCAGGATCTAGGGTAGCCTCTCCAGGCCTCTAGGTTTTTCTGTTTGGGGGTGAAAAAAAATTGTCCCAGTTATGATTGGCTTCTGGAACTCAAAATTCCTATTATCAAACTACCTAATATCACTGACGCTTAGAGACATCCATGGGAGGTTTCCATATCTGGCCACAAAATTGCACACCCAGCCCCTGTTCACTGAACACAGCAGGTGTCCTGAACATACTCAGCAGGTTTGCTGGTTTCTGGGTTCCTAGGTCAGAAGGGTTGCGCCAGACAGCTACACTGACATCAGCGAGAAGAGTGTTGATAGCTGAAATTCCATCTGGCTCACCACTGCCAAGAATAGCATTAAATGTTTATACACATTATCTTATTTAATCCTTGTAACCCTTCAGTGTGGTTGGTACTGTTATTTTGCATATGGAGAAACTGAGGCACAGAGAGTTGTAGTAACTCACCAGAGACCATGCCGCCAGTAAATTAGTAAGTGCTGTGCAACTCAAGCACATGAGCTTAACCACCAAGCTTTATGGTGAAAGTAAAGGACATTTTTAGAACAAAAAATACAGCGAGCAGAAAAAATATGGGACTATCTAGTGTAGGGCCCAATGCCCTGTATATTGTAATACTGAGAACATTGCTGTATTATAGCAGATACAAAAACCGTGCTAACAGCGCTGATCTTAAATCATTTAAAAATGATTAGTGGGTAATACATGAATGCATTAGTTCAATACCTGAGAGGAATTTCTATCCTGTAATTCTGATAGGGTTTTCTTTTGCAGCTTTTTTGAGATACAATTCACATATTATATAGTTCCCCCATTTAAAGTGTACAATTCAGTGGCCTTTGTATATTCGGAGTTGTGTATCTATCATCATAATCAATCTTAGAACATTTTCATTACCCTGAAAAGAAGCCCTGCACCCTTTCCGGATCCTCCTCCCAACCCCCGAGCCTTCCCCAGTACTAAGCAACCACTAGACTACTTTCTGTCTGCAGATAAGGTTTTGATACTTAAAAGAGTAACAGTGTGGGAATCTTGGTGATCTGGAGTGAGTCATTCCCTGAGGAATAATTAGACAAAGTAAATTTGACTCTGATGTATTTTATAAATGGCTTTATTAGCTAAGAAGCTACAAGCATGTCTTTGATATGCCCGAATTTGGGGTTGACATAGGCAAGAGACAAGGTTTTTCAGTGTAATTTCCACTTGTCAACATTGCCTGTCATATAGGCTCTTCTCAGCAAGCGGCTGTAAAGTGATGATGGTTTCGTGGGGCTATGTTTCTCCATTGGCATCAGAACCAGCAGCAGTTCAGCACATGATCTTTCTGCTGTCATCTGAATCCCTGGCTTGGTGTCTCTCTCTGCCTTGCTGCAGTTTGTCCATGTTAAGGGCACTTGTTCAGACGCCCATCCCTCTGAAATTCAGAAGGCGGCGTGCAGAGGGGCCCAGTAGGGACTTAGAGGGCGCATAGCTGCAGGCTCTCTTGAGCTCTCCTGTCAGCAGATCCATTGTACATCTCTTCTAACTCGTTCATTCTCTCTTTTCGAAAATATTTATTAGGCACCATGCAGGAGCACTGTTGTAGGCACCCAGCCAGTCACTCTGGAAGTGCCTCATCACCGTTGTGACAGCGCTTAGGCTTATTAGAAGCCAGAGGGCAGGGAGTTTGGTAACAGAACAGTTCTCTGATGCGGTGACACAGGCGCAGCGGCATCCACATCGGGGCAAAGCCGCCCCGGAGTGCACCACCCTGAGGACGCGCACTGGGTCAGCGGTGAGGAGGCGCACGTTCAAGTCCTCAGTCAGTCACCACCTAGTTGGAGGACTGTCGGTGACTCATGACACTTCTCTGAGCCATGGGCTCTCTCCACTGTGAGGGTTAAATAATGCAGTACCTTCAGTACTATTGCCAGAAAGAGTATGTACTTAGTAAGTGTGGAAGGAATGAAAGGAAATGCTGTAGTTCTTAGTGCTGGAGCAGAATTCTCACAGGTCAGACGACTAGATGGAGCCAGGTATAAATGAAGGCAGAGGAGAGCCTCCCTTTCTTCTAGTCACTCACCTCCTGCCTCCTCAGCCCTTTAAGCTCACCTTTCTTAGGGTTCCCATGTCCTCTGCTCCCCTGAGCCAAGGAGAGAGGTACTCCTTTTGAGGCTGTGGGCCTAAGAGCCAGCCAGTCCTGGGCATGAATCCAGGCTCTGGGGTGTCCTAGCTACGTGGAAAAGAGATCCAGTGATAGAGGGCTACTGTGAGGCATAAATAAGATGATATATGGGATGTGTCTGTGCCTGTGTCTGACACGTAGCACGCCTACCCCACAGATGGGCACATTCGGTCTCCTCCCCCGCTCCCAGCTCCCAGCCCCACAGCCTCCTTGTGATCTGTCTGGACCCCGGGCAGGCCCCACTGCCTGCCTGCTGCTCCATCTGCTGGGCACACTTTCCCCAGGCATTCGCCTGCCTCTGTCCCTCACATCCTTCAGGTCTCTGCTCCAGTGTCACTCTATCGGAGAAGCTCCCTGTCCCCTCCACAGGAAAGCCCTCTCCCCTTACCCTGCTGTGATTTCCTCCATAGCACTTCTGCCAGCTGATATTTATTCTGTTTGCTAGTGCGAGTCACTCCACTAGAATGTGAGCTTCATGAGGGCAGGGAGTCTGTCACCCACCGCTGAATCCCCAGGGCCCAGTGAGCAATGCGAAGGAGGGGAGGGACAGCTTCGTGAAAATTAGTGACCATGTCTGATGACCAGGCTCCTGAGGCTCACCCTGCCTTATACATCTTTTTGTTACAGCTCTTAACTACCAGGCTTTTTAAAGATTCTTAAAGTCTTTAAAGACTTACACACAGAAGTGGTCCTTAAGCCCTTTTCTGTCTCAGTACATGTGTGATCCTCCTACCAGTAACAGGCTGCTGGAGGCAGTGGTCTTCAGCTAGAAAGCACATACCCCTTCCCCTTGCCTGGCATTTTGAAACTGAGGAAGCCATGACCCTCCCCAAGTGATTCTGGTAATTCTGATATGTACACTCCTGCTCCCTTGTTGAGAATTATAGGTATACGAGTTGATCTCCCTAACTAGCCCATGAACACTTCCCTTAAGGGCACAATGGTGTCTCACCATTTTTGTATCCATGGCATGTAGTCCCAAGCTTGGTGTGATCAGTAAAATTTTGTTAAATGAATGGATGAGTGAATTAATAGTACAGAGATAATACCTTACTTCTTTTCATTCTTCACAGTAGGTGTAAGGCATGCTTTTTATAGACTTCTAGAGGAAAGGAAGTGGGACCCCAGAGCTGGAAGTAACACTAGAATCACTGGTTATCCATGCTGGATAACACTTCAGCCTCAATACTTAGTGGTTTAAAATAACAGTAGTAATTTATTACCTTTCATGGTTTCTGTGGGTCAGAGATTTGGGAATGGCTTGGCTGGACAGCTCTGGCTTGGATCTCGTGCAATTGCAGTTAGGTAGTGACTGGAGCTGAAACAGCAAGGGGCCAGTGCAGCCAGGGGCTGCCAGCTGCCTGTCTCTCTCCATACTGTCTGCATGTGGTCACTTTGTGGGACTGGTTTGGGCTTCTTCAAAGCGTGGCAGCCTCAGATTTCCCACTCGGCAGCTCATAGATTCAAAGCCAAGTGTCCCAAGAGGAGCCAGGTGGAGGATATGTCACCTTTTTTAGCCCATCTTGGAAGTCACACAAGTGTCACTTCTGTGGCAGTTCTGTTAGTTAGAAACAAGTCACTAAGGCCAACTCATTCAAGAGGATGCAGGTAAGACTCCACCTCCGGACAGTAGGAGCATCAGAGAACTTGCAGATGTGTTTTAAAACCACCACAGAGATGCCCAGTTTACCCCCTCATTCCACACTTGAGACCCCTGAGGCTTAAGGGGAAAGAACTTTGCCCAGAGCCACTTCTCCTGGCACCAGCGGAGCTGAAGTTGAGTCCAGCCCCGAACCTTTGGCCGGCCGCTTGGAAGTGACCTCAGTTTCCCTTCCTGCCCTCCCCTCACAGTGTGACGGGGGCTGCTGGTCTCTGGGAACCTTGCTCTCTAGCTGAGCCGTCACCGAGTTTAGACCGTGTGTGAGCAGCAGGAGGCCCGGGGAGACCCAGCATGCCTGGTCCGCGAGAAGTGATACAGCTGGACTGTTCTGCCTTTTCCCAAAACCTCCATAAAAATGCAGACTTTCATGGACTGAAGAGTTTCTATCACTTCCCAAGCCCCAGCCTCAGCCCGACGTGAAGCCCTTACACTGCCCTGCCGTGTTGAGTCCAGCCCCGAACCTTTGGCCGGCCGCTTGGAAGTGACCTCAGTTTCCCTTCCTGCCCTCCCCTCACAGTGTGACGGGGGCTGCTGGTCTCTGGGAACCTTGCTCTCTAGCTGAGCCGTCACCGAGTTTAGACCGTGTGTGAGCAGCAGGAGGCCCGGGGAGACCCAGCAGCATGCCTGGTCCGCGAGAAGTGATGCAGCTGGACTGTTCTGCCTTTTCCCAAAACCTCCATAAAAATGCAGACTTTCATGGACTGAAGAGTTTCTATCACTTCCCAAGCCCCAGCCTCAGCCCGACGTGAAGCCCTTACACTGCCCTGCCGCAGGGTGAGATACGGCTGCTGAGGCCGTGGGAGTTTGAAAGTCTGTGCCCCCAGATAACATTTTTACCATTGCTGTAAAGTTAGATTAAAAACAAAATAGAACTCGGTGGCACGCTTCGGAGAATCGACCCAAATCACTGAAAAGATTCTGAACATTTTTACCTCCAGCTGAAAATTCTAACCAGAATTTTGCTTCTATATGAATAAAATATATCTGGGTGTATGTTTTAGCCGGCATTGTAGAATGTTTTCTTGGGACTTCGTTGCTTTCTTGCCCTTCCTTCAGAAATGCCCTATTATGACGTTGGGGATAGAGGAGAGAAAAAGGGTAGAAAAGGGAATGGACAGTTTTTAACAAACCCTTACTATGTGTCAGGCACGATGCTAATTCGCTTCTGTGCTTCCCAGCCTGATGCACAGGCTCAGCCCTGCCGCACACTCAGTGCGTGTATGACCTTGAGCAAGCTGCTTAACCTCTCTGCACCTCATCTTCCATTTTTGTATGACAGGAATAATAATGCTTTCTACTTCATAGAGCTGCTGTAAAACTAAATGAGATAATGCTTGTAGATGCTGTTGGCACAGTCTGGCATATAGTAAGGATTTCATCACAGATTACTCGCTCACAGCCACTTTTCAAAGCGGTTGTTATAGCTCCATTTTACAGACAAGGAATCTTTGGTCAGGTGAGTGGCTTAGCTATAAGGGCAGAAGCTGAGCAACCCAAAGGCCTTGCTGTGTCCACCACATCTCACAAGACTCCAGGCAGCTCAGCCAGGTCTTCCGGACATGCAGTAGTGGTGGACAGAGGGATTCTGTAGACTTAAAACTGCTACAGCCCCATGTCAGGGTCCTAGAGCAGGAAAACTGAAAAAGGCAGGGCCAGGAATCCACTTATGAGGCTCTGTAAAGAGCAGAATGACAGAGAATGTTCCGGCAGAGGAAACAATCTTGTGAGAGCCCTGAGGTCAGTAAGAGCTTAGCTGATCTGTGGAATTAAAGAGCAGAATGGGTCAAGAAGAGAGTGGACATGAGACAAGGTTGCAGCAGGAAGGCAGGGCCAGACCAAGGTAGGACTTTGGGGCTGTGCAGAGAGTTTGGATTTTGCCAGAAGGAGTGGGAAAGTATCAAAGGTTGAATGAAGCAGGGGTACCACATGACCCAATGTCTGATTTGTGAACATCACTCTGGCTGCTTGATGGAAAATCAACTTTGGCCCAAAGGCAAGGGAGGGGCAGGGATGCAGTGAGGAGGTGCCACTAGGGGCTTAGAGGAGAGATGGTGGGGACCAGGTGATGCATGTAGAGGGAGAGGTGGGCCAATCCCAGCTCTCTTTTGCAAGTAGAATGACAGGACCTGGTGATGGGTTGTAGGACTGTATGTGAGCTGTAAAGGAGGAGGAGAAATCCCAGATGGCTCCAGGTTTCCATCTTGGCAGGCTGGGTGGACGGTGCCTTCACTGAGAGGGGGAAGGCTGGAGGGAGAGACTTGTGACGTGAGCTGTGACGCGTGTAGTGCTAGTGAGATGTGCAAAGGCTGTGCTGGGTAGGCAGTTAGACCGTCAAATCTGGAGCTCTGAAGATGGGCCGGGCCATCTGGGAATCATCAACACACACCATTAAGGGAAAGGCTAAGAACCCCAAGGGAGCAGACAGAGAAGAGGACCCAGGCCTGGTCCTGAGTGACCTCTAACACAAAGGTCCCTGATGGAGGAGACGCCTGTGTGGAAGAAGTTGAGAAAAGGCCTGAGAGGTTGGGCCCGGAGGATGTGGTGTCTGGAGGCCTCTGGAGGAGAGAGATCTGAGCAGAAGGGTGTCCGTGGCAACTGGGAGTCACTGAGGACCTTGTGTGACCCCAGCACCCTACCCGTTCCTCCTTACCTCACGGCCTCCCAAAGCAGGTCTCTCCACCACCTGCACCCAGGGCCGCGCGGCTCTGGCCTGCTGGGTGCTGAGGCCAAGGCCCCCGCCTGACTGCCTCCAGACAAAGCCTCAGCACAGGCATCAGGCACTGACCTGGCAGGACACGGGATCCTCTCTAGTGACTGTGCCATGGGTGTGCCCCTAAGGCACTAGATAGAGCTTAGCGGCCGTCCCCAGCAGGCTGCTCGTAGCTAGATCCAGCTGCCCTGCTATTTCCCAGGTTCTGGGAATGTGCTAGGCTTGGGGCCCTGGCATTACTGTTTGCCTCGGTGCCTCTCTGGTTCTGGCTGCCCATCACAGAGAAAAGCCGCTTACCTTTGAATCTGAGGAATGCCAGCTCAGTAGGCCCTGGTATTTCCATCAGTTTTCCATAGCTCTTTATTCCCGCAGAGAAGCCTTAGAGAGCATTTTCCCCATTCCCAAGGCCTCTCCCATGGGACCAAGTCTCACTCTGTGTTCTGTGTCCTTTGAAAAAGGGTCTGCTTTCTTTTTGTATAGTCTCTGCAAATATTTAATTTTTTGAAAAGAAAAAAAAACAGGAAATGACCTTTCTGGTATATTTGGAAAACAATTTGGAGCTGTAATGGAACCAGCCTGAGCAATGAGGACTGATAGCTGCAGACTTGGAACAGACCGTGTAGCTCTTGGCAGGGCCCAGGGCCACTTCAGTTCACAAAACTAGGGGGAGAATTAAAGACTGAAGAGCGAAGGCGGCTTCCTGTGGGGAAAGCTGGCAGTGCCCGGAGCAGGCACCTGCAAAGCCTCAGCCTCTGGGCCCAGGCCAGTGAAGGTCTGGGAAGCTGAGTACAAGGGCTCTTCTCTTCTGTCCTGGGCTCCAGGATCAAATGTCTTCCGAGTGTCCAGACCTCAGCAAGGCCTCCAAACTTCCCGAGGATGAGGAAGAGCAAAGAAAGTCACTCTGGAGCGCTCTGTTGACCTTGATGTTAGACTGCTGTAGACCCAGATTGGCTGTTGGCTATGTGTGGATCACCCTCCATTCAACCTTCCTGAGATTCTCAGCACCAGGTCACCTCCTTAAGGAGGACTTCCTTGACCATACAAGCTTTAATTGAACCATCCACATGCAGAGAACCCTATTTTCTTCCATAGCACTTAGGAGAATCTGTGATGATAGACTCATTGACCTGTTCAATGTCTTTTTCTTTTATCAGATTGTAAATATCTTTTAAGTCTCCAATGTATACCCCATACCTGGTACAGTGGGTGGCATATAGAATGTGCAGTAAACACTGAATGAATGAATGAATGAATGAAAAGAAGGAAGGAAAGAAGGGAAGGAGGAAGGAAGGAAGGAAAGTCAAGATAGGAAGAGACTTAGAGATCCTATTTCAACCTATATTACTCAGATGGAAGAAAAAGAAGTTGAAGGGGACCCAGTGGGGTCGCCCTGCTGCAGAGACTGAGCCAGACCTTTGGCCTCTGTTAGGATGCACGACTGCATACCGTTTGCTCTTTCTACCCTGGAATCTAGAACATTTTATTCACTCATTCATTGAATATTCATTGAGCTTAGACTATGTGCTAGGTCTTTCAGATATAGCAGTAGACATGCCAGGCTGGACCACCACTTCTGTGGAACTTGCATCTTCCTTAGCACCTTAGAGCACAAAAGAAGGAAACCTAAGTTTGGCCTTTTATGTGCCATTAAACATGGAGTGAAAACAAAGGAGTTGAATGAAAATTACTAATTACTTATTCATTGCCTGCCTCTTCCATTCCCTGTACCTTATCAGACGCTCATCACCTCACTGACACTTCACACCAGCTCCTGAGCAGCAGCTGGGTGTTACTGTTATCCCCCAAATTGCTGAGGGGGAAACTGGAGTCCAGAGAGGTGAAGGGAGTTGTCCAAGGTCTCTGAGCGAGTAAACAGGGATACAGACCTGTGCACTCTCACTAGATGCCTTCCACCACACCACACTCACCCCTCAGAAATTTGTGATGGCGCTGGAGTCTCCCGAGGGGCGGCATGGCATGGGAGAAAGAGCTCCTGGCCAGGACTTAGGACTCCTAGATTCAAGAACTTTGGGCAAATCACTTTCCCTTTCTGAACCTCAGTGTCCTCAGCTGTTAATGGGAGGCTTGTCTAGGTGAGCTCTGGGATCCCTTCTAGTTTGATTATTACACAGTTTGAGATAAATGGAAAAATTAAGGTGGATCTCTCATTCCTTAAAGCAAATAAATTCCAGATCGAAGGTTTAAATGTGAAAAATAGACCTATAAAAGTATAAGAAAACACTAATCTTAGAGTGGGGAAGACACTTCTAAGTATGATCCAGAAACCATAAAAAAAATGGATCAGTTTGACTACATGAATAGAAAAAAAGGTGTGCATGGGGAGAAACACCAAAAATAAAGTCAAAGAACAAATAACAAGTAAACAATCACTTGTCACTCCTTTTAATTAAAAAAGATGAATTTCTTTATAAAGAACACAGATCACTAAGAAGAGGGGCTATGATCCAATAGAAAAATGGACAAAAGTATTTGAGTAAATAACAGAGAAGAGGAAACACACAAAGATGTTCAGCTTCATTCCCAGGAGCAATAGAAACTGAAAACAGCCACATAGTTTCCACCTGGGCTGAGGGGTGTGCTGATGAGAATGTGGCAAAAATGAAGTCCCCTTCGTATATGCCAAGTGGATGTTAAATAATTATGCTCTGGGGGTGGGGGGAAACTAGGCAGTATCTATTGTAATAGAAAAAATTCACAGATCCCTTAATGGGGCAATTCTGTTTTTATGGAAAGAACACCAAAGTCCATCAACAGGAAAATAGTTCACGTACAGTAGTAAGGTAACAGAATACCATGCAACCAGTAAAAATGGTTTAAAAAATTTAGCTGTATAAGGACTTTGGATTTGTTCCTGGGGTTTTGATATAGTCAGTGCTGCAGTGGCTTCCTGGTGGTCTGGATTTGTTTCCAGGATAGATTTTTAAATGAAAAAAGCATGAAGGAAAACAACCTTTATTTTAAATAAAAGGAAGGGAAGGAAGGAGGGAGTGTGTACATTGCCCAGCCTGTCTCCGGAAGGACACAAGAAAGTGCTTGCCCTGGGGAGGGTGTCTGAGTCCAAGGAGGCCACTGAGCTCTTACTCCTTTTTCTTTTGTACCTTTTGAGTTTTATACCACATGCACACATTCAAAAATTAAAATGAACTCTTTCACAAAATTTAGAAAATGCAAAACAATATTTTAAAATCATAATACTTGATTATATCGATTGAGATTCTTCATTTAACAGTGTATGTGAACATTTTCCAGTGCCTTTTAAAAATATTCACATTTTAATGCCTGGATAGTATTTTATTTGAATATAAATTAGTTGGATATGTATATATTTCTTTGTTGTCCATTTAGGTTTTGACATATCCATTTAGGAGCTCATTTTGGTGTCTTTAGGTTTTGATTGTTATAAATAATACTGTGATCAACATCTTTGTTCATTTATCTTAAGCACAACTTGGATTATTTTCTTAGGATAAATTGTTATAAGTTGACTGGCTCAAGGATATGGAAAAAGTTTAGATTTCTTGATGCATCTTGTCAGGTCTCTCCTTAGAGACATCCTGAGAGTTAACACTCTCATTAGCAAGAGTCAGAAAATGACCATTTTCTGGCATAATTTCCAACTCTGAAGATTCTTTCTTTTCTTTCTCCATGTGCTGTTGCCTATAAAGAGCAGAGAGTGAGGGAAGAATACAAATGTTGAAGAAAAATGAAACTGTGTTTTTGCACTGTAGGTCAGAGAGCCCCCGAGACCCAAGCTCAGAATCACTTTGGAAAATTGCTCTTCCCTGAGTGGTTTGGGCTGAGTCAGCTGGAGCACGTTAGCTCGGTTAGTGTTTTCCAGGATTGGCCTTCGAGCTTGGCACACGTCCCTCTCCGAGCCAGGAGTTCAGCTCCTTGCCCTAGGCAGCTTGTGAGGTCAGCTGGGCACGGGCAGGAGCCCAAGCCTGACGGGTATCTGGTCCAGCGGGAAGCAAGCCTCTGAGGTGGAGTCTGCAGCTCCATCCTCCAGCGCCAGATCCTAGCGATCCCAGACTGAACGACAGGGCAGCCTGCAGTGGACAGAGACCTTCCCTGCTGTCCTGAGAGGGAGCTCCTCATTGCCCCTACAGATACGGAAAGAGGGGTGGAGGGTAGGAAGATAAGTAGAAAGATTCAAATCTAATTCAACGAGTATGTATTGAACACCCACTTTTTTGCCAGGTTCAGGTGCTGGTTCAGGTTCTGAAATGGAGCCGCAGAGCTCAGCCGTCCGCATCAGGCTTGCAGACTGGCCTGGTGGACATCCAAACACCCCTGTTGTCAGGCTGCCAGCATTCTCATGGGAGGAAAAGAGCTGAAGAGATGGGGCTCAGGGAAATGGTGCGGCCTGCCCAGGGCTGCCAGGGCTGTTCCTTCCCCTCGGCGGCAGGTATAATGTGGAGCATGAACCTGGACCTAGGAGCCAGGTGGGTCTGCCTGACACCTGAGTCATGATGACAAACTCATCTCACCAACCTCGGAGCTGTCGTGGCAGTTTTGCGAGGTACAGAAATCGTAAGGACTTGGCAAATGTGACCTTACCTGTTATTGTTAGAATTGTCATCATTGTTACTCTGTTACCTGTTACTGCGCCAGGCCATTCCCGATCTGAAGCTCTGAGCGGTTCAGTTTCCCCAGAGGGCAGTGTGGGAGGAAATGTGTGACCTGCGGAAGGAACCACCCCTGGGACCTCAAGAGAGTAGTTTTGTTTTGCTGAGGAGCCATGGCACTACCTAGGGCAACGTCTCTCAAGGCAACCAAAAAAAAATAGGCTCGCCTGCCCTCTGCTGGAACTTGGGGGGATTGCTGTAGAATTCTGGCCCTGCCTGTATTTTACAGGTGGGCTAATGGAGGCCCAGAGATGGGTGGAATCTTGCCCAAAGTCCGGTTTGTAAAGCCAGGTTCATAACACAAGCTCATGTTTCACATTGTCTTTCTACGGCAGGGCACCTCCCAGACTCCCCTGTCTGATCTTTGAGTGCCCTCAGTCTATTCTTTAGGTATCTCTCCTGAGCTAGGTGTTGCATGGAGATGTGGGTCCAGCCCCCTCTGCACACGCATGTACACCCCATTTACTGAGGCCCACCCTGGGCACTTCCTGGCAGGATCAGTTAGCATATGAAAGCATCACACAATAACCTGGGCTTATTAAAAACTTCTGCCATTACAAAAATACAGTCTTAAAAATGAAAGTTCCTCTTACTTCCAAGGAACCACTTGACAAGGTTTTTTTCCTTTTATCTGTCATATTTACCCACAGAAACTGGGTTTGGTTTTAAGTGGTGTTCTGCAGTCTCCATTTTGGAATTACTAGTTTATCTCAGAGTCCTTGCTGTGTCAGGACAGGGCCAGCTGGTACATTCCTTTTGCATGAAAATACATATATATGCTTTGTAATTCATGTAACGCTTAGCCCGCTGATGCACGTGTGGGTGACTCCGTGCTTGCTCAGTAGCTTGCTATTACTGACATGTGCAGTAAACATGCTCACAGCATAGAGCTCTGGCATTTGCCCGAGTGTGTCTAGAACAGGGATTTGCTAGGCCTGCCTCAGCCAGGAGGCTCTACACTCCAGAGGTCAGGCCGGTGGCTCAGCCCACCCTCCCCACTTTCCACCTTGGGGTCTTTCAAGTGGCCAGAGTCCATGTGGTGTGTGATTTGATTGCCTTCAGAAAATCATGGGTGCTCAATGAGAGGTACCCCTGTCTCCCTGCAGATTAACATTTTTTATATACTAGCAATACCTGTTGTTGGCAAGGGTGCAAACGGACAGTTTGGACAGTCCAGCTGTTGGTGGGAATATAAATAGGAACACCACTGAGTTTAAGGGTTTTTTCCTCTTTTGTCATTATAAATACCACTGTATGAATCTGGAAAGCAAGTTGGAAATGTGTCAAACAATGTCTTAAAAATTATTTCACTCTTCCCTTTATCCCAGCAATTCCACTTGTAGGGGTGTACTCTAAGGAAATAAGTCATGGTACACTCGAGTACACATGTACAGAAATCATCTAGAGGGAACCTTAATGACGCTCTAAGAGTATTTCAAAGAGTAGGATATAAAATACACTGTATATAGTATGATCCCTGAATTGTTTCTTTAAGTGTATGCGGCTTTTATGTGGTTCTCTGCTCTCTCTAGGCTGCCTTAACCAGGACTGTTAACCATCTTTCCTCTCCCTGCTTCCCCATCCCTCTTCTAAGCCCCACCCCCCTCCTTGGAGAGCCCGCAGGCATTTCAAAGTTCACAAGGTCAAGAGAACTCCATCATCACTGCGCCCTCACTCCCCGCCGTCCCTCCTCTGCTGCTCCCCATCTCAGTAAGTCACCCTTCTGTCCGCCTACTTACTCATGTCAGAAAGCTCACTTCCCTGTCAGCCAAACACCAGGTTGCATTGATTCGTCCTTCAGATTACATCTAGAATCTGACTCACCACTCCCTCTTTCTTCTCATGCCTTATGTGCAGCAGGAGTCCCCTCACTTGCCCCCTTCCAGACCCAGCTCCACCCAGATGCCAGAGTCATCTTTGAGATCACGACCTGGCCGGAATCCTTCAGGGACCAAGTCGCAGGTGTGATCTGGCCTCCGCCCAGCTCAGCGGCATCCTTGGTGTCACTGCCGCTCTCCCACCATAGCCCAGCCTGCAGCCCTCCCAGTCCCGGCATCCCACCCTGCCCTCCCACCTCCCATGCTGCCCCCCAGTCTGTAATGCTCTTCCCCTCAACTCCTTGTCTAGCTAAGGCCTGTTCCTCCTTGAATCTCAGCTAAAATGTCACTTCCTGACCGCCAGCCTTGCTCAGGCCCTGGCAGGCATTCATGCCCCCCGCCTCCTCCCTGAACGCTCTGAGCACCGGGGCGATCGCTGGGGCAATGGGAGGCCGCCTCCAATAGACTGCAGGCTCCCTGAGGCAGGGGCCGCCGACTGGTTGCGCTCTATCTGCAGCTCTGACCAGGGCCTGCCAGTGTGACATCCGCAAATAAGTATTTCTCAACAGCTTCACTTAGAGAAAAGACAAGGGTGATTTTTTTTAAATGTTGATGATTTTCTGGGTATGAAATCACAGTGGTGTATTTTGTTTTCTGTACTTTTTTGTACTTTGTCTTCAGTGATCAAGGCAACAACTGTCATTTTGTCCAAAGACATCAGTGCTGGGGACTGGAGCTGAGTCCTCCCTGCGGGCTGCACCCGGACTCACCTCCGCCCCTGCTCCCGTCCCCACAGGCCTGAAGAGCAATGCGACCGGCATGATGGAAGTCGAGTCCTCCTACTCGGACTTCATTTCCTGTGACCGGACGGGCCGTCGGAACGCGGTCCCCGACATCCAGGGAGACTCCGAGGCTGTGAGCGTGAGGAAGCTGGCTGGAGACATGGGCGAGCTGGCCCTCGAGGGGTCAGGTCAGGACCCACGGGTCGTTAGCACTCCTGCATGTGACAGACCCTCTTCTGGGCTCCAGGGTGGCCTCCTAGACTGCCCATTCTTTCAGGGAAGAAAATAAATTTAAGTCAGGCCCCCATTTCATGGCCAAGGGCAGTGTCCAGCCAGTCCCTAGATTGGAGGGAACCAGCATCTCAGGCCATGAGGGCTTTCTGGCCGGGCATCCTGGACTCTTCCCTCACAACCCCTCCCACCCCAGGTTCTTCCACAAGTCCCCTCTGTTCTCCAAGACACCTCCAGGTTCCTCCATGTCTCTCCCTCCCCACAGCCTGCCCTGGCCCCCTGCTCCACATGACAGCCAGCAGGATTCACCCAGAGTTGTCCTGGCCTCTCCTGCTTCTGCCACAAAACCCCCCATCGCACTCATTGCGAGGCCAGACTCGTCACAGGCCTCCACTGCACGACCGTGATGGGGCCCTGCCCTGCCCCTCAGGTCCCACTGGAGGCAGCTCTCCCCCCAGCATGCTGCCCCCCAGCCACATCTTTGGTCTGTGTGTGTCAGGGTGCAGGTCTGTCCCCTTCAGAGCCTTCTGTTTCCTCTGCTGGAACACCCCGCACCCAGCCCTCTGGCTACTGCCTCCTCCCCCACAGGCTGGAGCTCCTACGAGGCACTTCGAGGGGCCTTGCCTGACAGCTAAATGGCCACGTGACCCTCGGCACACCCTGCTGAGGTCTCAAACACAGGAGCTCCAGGAGAGCAGGGGCCCCCTGCAGTATGCCAACGGGTGCTTGGAAGCCACAGGCTGAAAGACGGGTGGAGGAACTAGCCCCCACCACCCTGCACATTGCCTGGGACACCCCTCTTTCCTCCCTCTAGCCTTCCCGTGGATGCCACTTAGCCCGTTCTCCTGGTAAGCCCTGGGACCTTCTTCTGGGGGGTTCCATGACCCCCCTGCACTGGCTAGGGCCCTCCTCTCTGTCCCCACAGCACCAGAGAGACTGCATCTCTGTGACATCGCTTCCCACAGCAACGTCCATCTGTGTGTGTCCCCACTGAGCTGTCCTGGGAGGGCTGCAGCCCTCTTTCCCTGTGCAGACCCCAGTCTAGAGCCCTAGGCCCTTACTGGGCAAAAGTGACCTAGGAATACATAACAGAGACTTTACAGGAGTATGGACCCAACCGTCTAGTGTTATATAGATGGACACATGGGTCCAAAGAAGTTGAGCAGCTTGCTCAGGGTCACCAGGAAGTCAACACAGAATGAGAATCTGGCTGCCCAGTGCCTGACTCAAAGAGCCACACCCCACACCCCTTCCCTGTTCTTGTGGTCAGCCTCCCTGGCTGTGTGGCCCACAGTCCTCACTGGCACGAGCCTCCAGTCTCGCCCCACCCACCTCGGCTCTGTCTTCCTCCCCTGGCGCCCTGGACCCAGCTGGATGAGGGCACCTCTGCCCCTCCTCACTCTCGGAGGCCAGACTGCTCAGCTGCGAAGCCAGCTGTGAGCACAGCCCCGCTCTCAGGCAGCGGGAGGCACTCCTCCGGCCACCCCCATTGTCCCACGTGGCACGTGCCCCTCTTCCAGGCTGCGGCCTCTCCTGCACAGGCTGTGTCTCAGGCAGGTGATAGAGGTGCCTAGGCAAGGGCTGTTCACTGACTGACTGACCAGCATGCCCAGCTACTGTGCTGAGCTCTGTATTCTTACCCTCAGTTCCAGAAAACTGGTTTGTTTCCCTCTGCCTCAGCAGCTGTAGCCCCTTGACCATGGAACCAGGCCCTTCTGGTACCGGGTTCCCGATTCAGAATCCCTGCAGTGTCTAGGTCCTCTGGATGCATGACCTTTGCCTGCCAGGGTAACTGACATTGAAAAGAGGACCTTAGGAGGGAACAGCATTCACTGCAAGGAAGTGAGGCACTCGTGATACAGTCCAGCCTGGCTGAGGAACCTTCTAGTGGGCCCCGCAGCGAGCAGGTCCATCCAGCCGACTTAGTGAGTGAGTACAGATACAGAGAGACTGATACACAGCCAGGGGCAGGGGAGAGCCCCGCTCTCAGCCTGTCCTGAAGGCCTGGGCCTGTTTGCTGACACTCCCTAAGCATGTCATGTGCAAAACTTTGCCTTCCCTGTCGTTCCTTACACGGGGAGCACACATGTTTCCTCCCTTTGCCTAATGAGAGAGAAACAACGGGCAAGGCAAGAAGTGTAGACACTGCCCCACAGTGTGTGACCAAGAACCATTTCAAATTATACTCTGAAACTGGCCCCAGAGGAGCTGGTTGCTCAAGAACCTTCTTCCGGGGCCAAGAGAGCTGGGACTGGCACAGAAGAACCGTTCCCACTAGCTGAGGCATTCCCCTGGGCCAGATGACCACATCTGGGCCCTGCACCTCCCTGGCACACAGGCAGAGGGTCACCATCCATGGTTATAACTCAAGAAGTAGAGGCACTGGGTAAATGAATTGCCCAAGGTCTCACAGTGAGGAAATGGTAGAACAGAGGTGACTGGGAATCTGACACCAACGTTCCTGCTTGCCAGGGCAGAAGGCTCAGAGCCAAAAAAGGGTACCAGATTTGCCTGAAGTGCAGTCTAGTTTGTCAGGCTTCTGGAGGTCTAGAAGGATCCTCTGGGACCAAGCCTTTGCTACAGGCACCACCCCAGGACAGGAGATAACCTTGGGGACCAGTGTTGGCAAGGGGAGAGCCAGACATTCAAGTTCTGCCTGCACCACTCATTACTGCTAACGCCCACTTCCCAGACTACTGCCAGGGCAGCCAGAGTCAGTGGCCACAATCACCAGCCTCAGGGACCCAGGAGAATGCTGCTTTATGCTAGGAGTGAGATTCACTGGAAGGACGCTGGCTTTCTCCACCCCCTGCTCACAGGCTAATCAGTTCACCTCTCTGAGCCTCGGTTTTTCTCATCCGCATCATGACCCTCATCATACCTCCAGGCTGCCGTGTGGATTGTGTGGGTTCCCCTTAGTCAGGTGAAGGGCTTAGCCCACAGATGCATAGGGAAGTGTGGCTCGTCTGGGGAAGACGGCAGCGGAGCAGCCGCAGGCTCCCCACCAACCCCTGATGCACGCCACCTCTGCCACTCCCCTGAGCTGGCCTAGATCAATGCCCTTTTCTGTCTTACAAGAGCTACCTTTTCACTTGAACCCCTGTTCTATGCGGAGCCTTCCCACTTGCCCTCTCCTTCTGGAGAACCTGCACAGATATCCTGGCCCTCAACAGCCCTGTGCCTGATGCTTTTAGCATCCATCCAGGATGCTGGCCTTTAGATGATTTTGATTACACTAGTACCACCACATGCATTTTCTTTGTAAGCAGAGACTAGGCCAAAATTACCCTCCGGCCACCACCACCACAGTCTAGCTCCCGTCCTGCAGCCCAGGGCTCACCCACTGCTCCTCCACTGGGCCCTGCCTTTGTGTGCATGCTCCTCTCCCTCTCCTCTCCAGAAGCGCAGGCTGAGGCGGGCCCCTCTGACAAGGAAGCTGGCAACCCGCCGGAGAGCAGCGCTGGGACCACCTCGTCTTGAGTCTGGAAGGCTGGAAGACCTGCTGTCCCCGCCTGGACAGGGGGCCCTGGCACAGGCCTGGCAGCCTCTTCTCGGAGCCTTTGTCACAGGCAAGCCAGGCCAGAGTGAAAAGATACCCCCAGGGGCCACCGTGGCCCCTACCCTGTGAAAGCCCTCTGCCCACATCCACAGGCTCCACGCTCCCACCTCCTCACCACACCCACGTACACTCTCAAGACACTGTAACCACAGGATGGTGTTTATCCAGTGGGTACCAGGACTCAGGGGCTGGGCCCTGCACCCCTGGGCGAGCGCCGACCCAGCTACCTTCCTCTCACGGGTGGCCTGGGTGGGGACCAGGTCCCAGCTCTGCCCCTTCTCCAGCCCCAACCTTCTGGGTCAGAACCTTCATATCCCTTTTTTAAAAAACACTTTTAAACTTTGTAAAAAACCTCATACCTTTTTTCAGCAGAGAGAGGGAGGGAGCTGACCTTTTATTCTGGAAGTAGCTGTCAGCTAAACCCTCCGACCATCTATGCAGCTCTGAGGTCCCCTCATGGGCCTTCACAGATCCAGTTTTAGGGAAGGGATTTTGTGCTCCAAACTATCTGATCGACTCTTATCCCTTTCTGTCAAGAGAAGTGACACCTAGGACCCAGAAAATAAAATGCTGATGATTTGTGTGACTGGTTTAAGATTATTTCTCCTTTAAACAGCAAAAGCAGGGGATGGGCCTTGTTCCCCCAAGTCCACAAGTAGCTGGGATCTATCGCCGCCCAGGCTTCCATGGCACGAAGTACCTGAGACGATGCTGGTGTCTGCAAAGGCCGGCACCACCCCTTGGCCTAGTGTCTGAGGCATCTTCTTCCATCTCACCCATCACTCCAGGCCACACCTTCCGGAGCCTGAAAGGGAGGTCTTCTCTCTAACACCCAAAGTAGGAGCGGGGCTAAAACTTCAGGGGTCACTTAAGCAGATAACACTTCAAGAGAAGGCTTGCTTCTTCTGGGGAGCAGGCCACTGGGAGCTCTGACTTCCCAATCAGTCCCCTCTAGACTCTTGGGGCCCTGCTGCTAGCTAGCAGGCTGCCTGAGCCTGGGCTCCCCCAAGGCCCCTGCTGTTCTCACACTACACGTGTTAGCCCTCCTAAGACCACAGCACCACACCCATGTACCACATGATACCAGCCCTTAGCTTCTTTATTGAGCACCAGATTTTCAGCACAAGTCACAATAGGAGGAGGGTTTCAGATTCATTCAGGCCCTGGCACATAATCAGGAGAGATCTGGCCATGCCAACGTATATGTGAGTGTAGAAACAGGCACAGAGGCTTCAAGAGTGTCAGTTGCTGACTATGGAAATCATAGCCTTCCTGGAAGGAGAGAGCGTTGCTTGACCCCACGGAGTTGTGAAGACTCCATCCACAGGATGAGGGCTCGGAGAGAGGTGACTGTGACATCTTCAGGGGTGCTGCCCTGTTTGCCCGGTCACAGAAGCAGAATGATTAGGCACCTTGTAGTAGCCTGGACATAAAGCACAGAACATCAGAGCCAGAGAGGAACCCCTTCCTACAGATGGGGAGACTGAGGCTCAGAGCAAGGGGGTGCTTTGCTATGGCCCATAGGAAAGGAGCAGAACAGAGCTAGGACCTGGGCCTAACTCCTGCCCTTGACTGAGCAATGGAGACCCCCAGTGTTGCCAAGACCTTTGGGACTGGGCTTCCGGAAGGCCCCCCGCTCAGACCAGCCTCAAAGACAGCATTATACAGAAAGTAAGCTGACTCAGTGAGAGGCTGCCACCCGCCAGAGCCCTGTAACCCCCCCATCCTTGGCATTGCCCAAGATAGGAAAGGAGGGCATCTGGCTACAAGTCCTGCAGAAAGCCAGGCTGAAGCCAGGGCAGGGCCACAGCCCAACGGCTCAGACAGGGACATACCTGCAGAGGCCGAAGGTGGCATCCCATAGGCTTTATAGAGCAAATCAAGAAGCTGCTGCTTCTCATCTTCTGGGAGGAAACTGGACTTTGCTGCATTGATGTTCTAGAAGAGCCAGCATAGCAGAAACATGAAGAGAGCATGGAAGGGAGCCCTCGGCCAGCTAGTGATAGGCCATCTTCATTGAGCGTGGGTAATTAATGAAGCCCAGGCGGGGAGGGCTTGTTCGAGGTCCCAGAGCAGCAAGGGCCGGAGCAGAAGCCTTGAGGTTCTGTGTTCATAAAGTGGCACTAAATGATTTAGAGATGTGAGAAGGGTGTCGGAGAAACCTTTGACAGGGTGGGATGTGTGGGGCCAGAGAGACACTCCTTCAGGGACAGACTTGGGATATCATAACCCCTAAAGTCAAGGGAATCTATGAATAGCCTGAAAAGTACAAAATTTTCTAGCTGAGCACACTTTTCTGGGGACAGGATTGACATCTTTCATCAGATTCTTTGAGGGTGCCCAACCCAAGCAGAGGGAAAAAACCTGGTCTGAGGTCAGCCAAAGATGTCTTCCGTGTGGAATGCCCCTACCCGTAGGCCTGGCTTGGCTTGGCCTCTTGAGGCAGACTCACTCCTCACACCCACTCACCAGTCTCTTAAACTCCTCTTCAGGGAAGCCCATGTTCTGTTTGGTCATCTGGTAGTCAGTGTCCAGAGTGGACTTGAAGATGAGTGGGTCATCTGTGTTGAGCGAGTAGTTAGCCTGGTCGTTTCTGAACCTAGATACGGGGAAGCGGGAGAGAAGAGCCATCTTTAATTTTTCACTCTTCTGTGAAGTCACGGCACGTTGGCTTCTGCCCTCCCTGAAACCTTGGTGCGCCCTCAGACAGACTTGGAAGATCTTGTAGAGAAGGCAACACACTTGGAGAACGGAGGCGACTGTCCAAGGCAACTCGAGACTCAAGCGCATCTAACCAGGTCAGAGCTGGGCAAAGGGAGAAGAGGAGCCGGTAGACTAGGGACCCAGGGAGGCCAAAAGAGCGACCCCTGACTCCAGATACCACCCTCTCGAGCCTTCCCTTCACAGCCAACATCCTGGGAGAGTTGCTGGGCTCTGACTCTTCAAGCACGTCATGGAAAATGGTCGTAGCACACAATCCGTGACCACCATCTCATTAAGTCCAGTGAACCTTTCACGGCTCTTACCTCGCTCAACCTGTGCAGCAGAATTCTACAGCGCTTACCGTTCTTGGAACCCTTGGCCTCACTTCTTGGGTACCTTACTTTCAGCTTTCCTAACTCTTCTGCCTGCCCCTTATATGTCACTGTCCTTTTGGATTGTCTCCTGAGGCCATCACCTCTTCAGCCACCATGTCTGTATATGTGACTCTTGAATCTTTCTCCAGCCCACAAGCTCTTAAACCCATGTGCCTCCAAGAACCTTCACTTGGTCACCCACAGCTACTGCACGTGACATTCCAGAAGCAGGCGCAGGACACCCCCGCCCTTGTTTTGTTGTTGGAACATCAGAGCCCAAACTCCTCTTCTCAGAAGCTTGGCAGATAGACCAGTGCTGGCCTGACCGTAATTACCCCAAGTTTTTGCTGGCCTTATCCTGTTCAGGGAAAAGTGGCTTTGCCCTCCTGAGGCCATTTCCAGGGTGAAGGTGGGAGAGACCCTCCAGGGAAGGGCTTCACGATGGTGCTCAGAGGAATGCCCAGAGGTTCCCAGAGCAGCGACGACTGAGGAGGAGGGACTCATCTTCCCGACACCTGCCTCGGAGGCAGAGTCCAGAATGTGAAAGTCTCCCCTGGGTTAGCAGGCCATCCTGCCGCACTTGAATGAGGGCCTCCAGTTCTGCTCGTTAGTAGCTGGGTGGCCTCCGTCGAGTCACAGCACATGGGATCTTTGGATTCCTCCTTTGTAAGAGGGGGACAGTAACGCCTGCTTCCCAAGGATTTGAAAGACTTTGTACCTAGAGACCCAGGACAGGCTGGTGCCCAACGCCTGTGTTTCCTGCCCACCCTTGGCTCTCCTAGTACAAAACTGAATGGGCTGCAGGGGCCCCAGGCCTCACCGGATGACCGCGTGCTCCGTGCCAGGCTTCCAGGCACCTGTGAGGTAGCTGGACCAGGGGCAGACCTGGAAGAGCAGGTGTGTGTCTGGCATGGACCCTCCAACCACGCTGATGCCCCCCACCCTGGTCCTGGAGCCCCTACTCTGGCACCATTCTTGCCATGGGCAGGCTGGCCTCCTTGCTACAAAACCCCATGACCTCCTCAATCCTGGCCTTCCTTCCCTACCAGCTCTAATGCCCACTGCCCAGACTGTCAACAGTTTGCCCTGCTCTTTTAGCTCCTGGGACCCTCCCATGTCCACCCCTCTGTCCTCCCAGTCCCTGGCCCTCACCTCGAAGTGCATGTTTTCTCTCCGCAGCCTGTTGTAAAGGGTGTCATCCTCCAGGGTGTGGTAGCCGTGGCCCACCCTCTCCGTCCTGAGTATGTCCACAGCCTGCAGAGAAGCCCAGTGGAGCCCAGTACAGAGTGGAGAAGAAGTCGGGAGAAGGGCCCCACAGCCAGCCCGGCCTCCTCACCTCTCTCACCACCTCCGCCGAGCCAACCTCCCCAGCGTGGACAGTGCGGTGAACGCCGCTCCTCACAGCTTCCTGAAAGGGCCAGACCAGATCACGGGTGGCCCGGGGGAGGCCCCTGGCAGGCCTGCCTTTACACTACACTTTGGTCTGAGTTTTGGCCAGTCTGAACCATGCGCCCAGGCTGGCCTGCTTCAAGATGGGCAAGTCTGGTCTATTTTTTAAATCACAATTTAAGTGGTAGCTATTATTTATCAGACAGGTATAGGTCAGTCACTGCATGAAATGGTTTGATACATTGCCTAATAGTCACAAATATAATGCCTGTTTTGTGGTAGTGGGAACAGGGGAAGACTGAGGTTCAGGCAAGTTAAGTAACATAAGCGAGGCCAAACAGGAAGTAGGGAACCGAACTCTGACCCCGTCAGTGAGACTCTAGGGCCCCCACTCTAACCCCAGCTTCATCCACAGGGAGTATGTCATGAGGCTCCAAGATGTCTGTGCTAATCAGCCATCCCAGCAGATGAAACGGGTCCAGAGGAGGGACAGTCAAAGTTACCAAGTCCTAGGCAAAACCAAGCTCAAACAGGCCTTGCGGCACCAAGGAGGGTTTCCCTGTGCTCTGGTGTTCAGAGAGGAAGGGAGACAAAGGGTGGGGTGGGGGAAGCTTCCAACGGCAGCCTGAACCTGGGCTCTTGTGCATCATGTGGAGAATAGATTTCTGTTTCAAACAATTAAAAACAAAAATTCCCAATTTCTAGAGCCCCTGAACCCATCTAAGGCACACTTGGGAACCCAGGAGGCCTCACACTCCCCAGCTGCAACTTCTGCCTACTGCAGGTGGAGACACGCTCCTCCCCCAGCTCACCAATGCCAGCTGCTGCCCTGCAGGACTCACCTCGTAGGCCTTCACATGTCCTGGGAAAAGGCTGCTTCCCTGGATGGTCTCATCTCCAGCCAGGTCGATAGCCACCACAGTCTGCTGCCTGTACTTCTTACACAGCTCTACCATCTCAAGGGACCAGTCTGCAGGCAAAATGCCCACCAGGCCTCTCAGCGGCACCCAGGAGAGAGACCCCTCCAGCACCCCCACTTGCATCCCACCCTGCTCGCCCCGTCCAACCTGAGGCTAGTGTAAGACACAGAGCCCCAGTCTCGTCTTCAAATCCTGGCAGCCCTTGCCTAACCACATGGCGCTCAGCCAGCTGCTCCACGCAGGGCCCGCTGCCGCTCCCCTCAGAGGGCACACTGCCACCTACTGCACAGGTCGTGGCTTTGCCAAGGCCTGTGTGTAAAGCGCCGAGGACAGGGCCTGGGCTCAGCTAATGACAAGCCTCTGTTCTCTCACTGGATCCCCATACAAACCTTAAGGTGGGCTTAGCAGATGAGGAGATGGAGGCCCACACAAGTTAACATTTAAGGCCAAAATATCACTGCCACTAGTATTACTAAACATACTGCTAATACACTCTACTCTTAACCAATGAAATCATCATGAAAGGTCTAAAAAAGAAGCAATCACAGGCTCTGGCACAAGATGACCCTGGGTTCAGATCTGGACTTTGTGCCTTCCTGACTGAGGACCAAGAGAATTTGCCCTTCTCTGCCTCAGTTTCCTTATCTTCAAATGGGGGAAAACAAGCCCACCTCACAGGCTGCTGCAAGATTAGAGAATATACAAGTCACTCCTCACAGGTTGGCGTAAGCCTCTGCTTTGCTTCTCACCACCCCTTGGAGTGGAGAAAGGATGTGTGATCACCACACGTGGCACCACAGATCTAAGGTCCACACAGTGGGGCTCCACACCGTGAAGACTCAAGCCCTGAAGATTTTATCAGTGTCAGTCACAAGGGAGTCTCTCAGAAGTCCCGGAAATCAGACCGTATTCACTGGTTCTGTGGCCTCAACAGGAAGAGGCCTGGCCCACAGAGCCTCAAGAGAAGACCATGGGCTAATCAGAGCCTGGCCTAGATTTTTTTCTATTATTCAGGCTCCTCTGGTTTGGAGCTTCCTGCAGAAAAGTCTCTGTTGCCAGAAAGTTCTGAGCCTATTCAGGAGGGCTCTGGTGGCTTCAGGAAGCCCCAAGGTCCCGCTGAGGGGCTCACAGGTTACCTGGGGAGACCAGGTACAGGCCCAGTACCAGGCCAGGAGGGTGGGGCCAGCATCAGTTGGGCAGCCCGGGGCGGGCTGGGGTGATACTCACTGGGCTGGTGGCGCATGCAGCACAGGATGGACCGCACCTTCGACCCGAAGTCCCGCTCTCCCTCCTGCAGGCCCTGGCCCACCAGGTCCACCACCTCATCCGGGGTGACGTCCCCTCTGTGTGGGGAAAGGAATAGGGATAGGTCTGAGACAAAGGAAGGTCTAAAGGACAAGATGAGGGAAGGGGAAGGGATATGGGGGGGGGCGGTCCTGCAGCAGGGGAGGCAGAAAAGGGAGGCAGGGGAGAAAGGAAGGAGAGAAGCCCCCTCTCCCACAAGCCCACGCCTCTGAGGGAGCCTGCACCAAGCCCAGCACAGCCCTGTCCAGCTTCCTTAAGCTGCCTGGGCACTGCCCCTGAAGAGAAGTGATGGGCACAGGGCGGGGAGGGAGGGGGCCCCTGTCAGTGTCCCCCACTGGGATGGAAAGCACTAGCGGGCATGCTCGGTCTCATTCCCACTTGTTCACATGTACCTGAGTCATGGCTAGAGGGGGACAAGGTGGTCAGGTGACACCACTAAGAAATCCCTTAGGTCCAGGCAGAGGGGCAGGAATGGGCCAGACTCACTTCAGTTACAGTGTTACAACAGGACCCCTAGAAGTCACTGGATAAGCAGGCTAATGTTCCTAGGCTATGGGCTTGTGTCCAGAACTAGGAGCGGCAGGGCACTACTTTGGGCACTTTTGCCCAAAGTAAAAACATAAGCCCAGGTGAGAGATGGAAACCACATCTCTTATCAGGGTTAAGCCATCTTTCTGAGACCAGGGGCCAGATCTGGGGGCAAGATCAAAGTTGTGCTTGGTTCGGGGCCTCCCTGCAGCCTGCCCTTCGGGTCTCAGGTTTGGGTCCCCACCACAGCCCCTCTGGGCAGTCACTCACTCAGCCTGGTTCCAGGGGATTGGCTCCACTTTAGAGTTGGCCAGCAGGTGTGGGCAGTAACGCACCTCCACATATACCACGCCCTCCTTGGCCTTCATCTCGACAAACTCATAAGCAATCCTTTTGATGGCCTCTCGGGAACCCCTGGGAAGGAAGAGAGGGGTTGGGACAACCTTCCCCAAGTTCCTTGGAAGCTCAAGGAGCAACAGGGCTGGCCCCAGCCCCTTGTAGATCAAACCCGCTTATGACCCCCAGCCCCTCATCCGACAGCCCTGTGCCCTGGGCGTCTGCAGGAGGAGATCCCAGAAGCACTGCAAGTCTGTCGGCTCTACTTCCAAACGGTATGCCGATTCTCGCACCCTTCACTCTGGTTCTAAGCACCTCTTCTTGCTACTGGCCTGTCTCCTCGCTTCCCTTCTGTTTTCTGCACAAGAGCTAGAACACTCTTAAAAGTGTAATCCAAAGCACATTGTTCCTCCATTCTGAACCCTAATGGTTTCCCACCACATAGAATGAAATCTCAACCCTGTGGCCCAGCCCACAGGGCCTGATAATCTGGCTTCTGCCAATGGTCCCAGCACCTTCCTTCTCACTCATTCCGTGAAGCCACCAAAACCTTCTTTCTGTTCAAGGAGCAGTCAAGCTTGTTCCCATGGCAGGGCTTTACTGTTTGTAGCTCCCCCGGCCTGCAGGCTCTTCCCCTGGATCATCTTATGCTCCCTCCTGCCCTTCAGATCCTGGCTGCAGCCTCACTTCCTCAGACAGCCCTCCCCTGACCACCTGGTTGTAAAACACCATTCTGCATCCCCACCCTGGGCTCTCCATGGTGCTCATCACCACCCAACGTTACTTATAGTTTCTTTACTGACAGTGTTCATCTCCCCTGCTAGAATGTAGCCTCCACAGACAAGGACCCGTCCATCTGTCAAGGCTATGATCTCTCAGCCAGGGACAGAGCCTGGGACATGCTGGCCACTCAGATATTTGTTGAGTGACGGAAGAAGGCCAGCAGGGAAGGGAAATAAGAGAAAAGGACACATGCGGGCAACAAAAAAAAAAAAAAAAAAAAAAAGACCAGAGAAGTGGGATTGCATCAAAGTAAAAAGTACACAGCAAAGGAAACCATCAACAGAGTGTATCTAACAAGAGGCTAATATCCAAAATATATAAGTAACTCCTACCCCCCTGACAGCAAACAACAAGCAAAAAAATGAAACCTGATTTTAGAATAGGTGAAAGACCTGAACAGACATTTCTCAAAAGACACACAAATGGCCAACAGGTACATGGAAAGATGCTCAATATCACTGATCATACCACATCAACAAAAAGAAGGACAAAAATCACATGGTCATCTCTATAGATGCTGAAAAAGCATTCAACAAAATTCAAAATCCACTCATGACAAAAACTCTCAGCAAAATAGATACAGAGAGAAAATACCTCACTATAATAAAGGCCATATGTGACAAACCCACAGCCAACACCATATGTAACAGTGAAAGGCTGAAAGCTTTTCCTTTAAGATCAGGAACAAGACAAGGATGCCCACTCTCCCCATTTTTACTCAGTATAGTACTGGAGGTCCTAGCCATGGCAATCAGACAACACAAAGAAATAAAAGACATCCAGATTGGTAAGGAAGAAGTCAAACTGTCACTGTTTGCAGATGACATACTGTACATAAAAACCCTTAAGAATCCACCCCAAAACTGCTAGAACTAATAACTGAATTCAGCAAAATTGCAGAATACAAAATCAATACACATAAATCTGTTGCATCCCTATATACTAATGATGAACTAGCAGAAAGAGAAATCAGGAAAACAATTCCATTCACAATTGCATCAAAAAGAATAAAATACCTAGGAATAAACTTAACCAAGGAGGTGAAAGAACTATACTCTGAAAACTACAAGACACTCATGAGAGAAATTAAAGAAGACACCAATAAATGGAAATACATCCCATGCTCATGGATAGGAAGAATTAATATTGTCAAAATGGCCATCCCACCCAAAGTAATTTAGAGATTCAATGCAATCCCTATCAAAATACCAACAGCATTCTTCAACAAACTAGAACTAATAATTCTAAAATTCATATGGAACCACAAAAGACCCCGAATAGCAAAAGCAATCCTGAGAAGGAAGAATAAAGCTAAGGGGATTATGCTCCCCAACTTCAAACTCTACTACAAAGCCACCGTAATCAAGACAATTTGGTACTGGCACAAGAACAGACCCATAGATAAATGGAACAGAATAGAGAGCCCAGATACAAACCCACACATATATGGTCAATTAATATATGATAAAGGAGCCATGGATATACAATGGGGAAATGACAGCCTCCAACAGCTGGTGTTGGCAAAACTGGACAGCTACATGTAAGAGAATGAAACTGGTTTATTGTCCAACTCCATACACAAAAGTAAACTCAAAATGGATCAAAGACCTGAATGTAAGTCATAAAACCATAAAACTCTTAGAAGAAAACATGGGCATAAATCTCTTGAATATAAACAGGAGCAACTTTTTCCTGAACACATCTCCTCAGGCAAGGAAAACAAAAGCAAAAATGAACAAATGGGACTACATCAAACTAAAAACTTCTGTACTGCAAAGGACACCATTAGCAGAACGAAAAGACATCCTACAGTATGGGAGAATATATTCGTAAATGACATATCCAACAAGGGGTTAACATCTAAAATATATAAAGAGCTCACAAGCCTCATCACCCACAAAGCAAATAACCTGATTAAAAAATGGGTGGAGGATCTGAACAGACACTTCTCCAAAGAAGAAATTCAGATGGCCAACAGGCACATGAAAAGATGCTCCACATAGCTAATTATCAGGGAAATGCAAATTAAAGCCACAATGAGATATCACCTCACACCAGTTAGGATGGACAACATGTACAAGACAAGGAACAACAAATGCTGGCAAGGATGTGGAAAAAGGGGAACCCTCCTACACTGTTGGTGGGAACGTAAATTAGTTCAACCACTGTGGAAAGCAATATGGAAGTTCCTCAAAAAACTAGAAATAGAAATACCATTTGACCCAGTCATTCTACTCCTAAGAATTTACAAGAAAACAAGATCCCTGATTCAAAAAGCCATATGCACCCCTATGTTTATCACAGCACTATTTACAATAGCCAAGATAAGGAAACAACCTAAGTGTCCATCAGCAGATGAATGGATAAAGAAGATGTGGTACATTTACATATACACAATGGAATATTATTCAGCCATAAGAAGAAAACAAACCTTACCATTTGCAACAACATGGATGGAGCTAGAGGGTATTATGCTCAGTGAAATAAGCCAGGCATAGAAAGACAAGTACCAAATGATTTCACTCATTTGTGGAGTATAACAAAGCAAAACTGAATGAACAAAAGAGCAGCAGATTCACAGACTACAAGAAGGTACTAGCATTTACCAAAGGGAAGGGGAGGGTGAGGGTGGGGACGGATGGAGAAGGGATTAAGGGGCATTATGATTAGCACACATAATGTAGGGGTGTCTCAGGGAAGTCAGTATAGCAGAGAAGACAAGTAATGACTCTATAACATCTTACTATGCTGATGGAAAGTGACTGCAATGGGGCGTGTGTCGGGGGAGACTTGATAATATGGGTGAATATAGTAACCACAATGGTCTCATGTGAAACCTTCATAAGATTGTATATCAATGATACTGTAATTAAAAGAAATATATGACTGATCATAAGAGAAAGGCAAATTAAAACCACACTCATATTTCACTTCACCCCTGTTAGGATGGCTACTTTCAAAAAGATGAGAGATAACCAGTATTGGTGAGGATGCGAGGGAGAAAAGGGAACCCTCTAACACTGTTCGTGGGAATGTAAGCTGGTGCAGCCACTATGGAAAACTGTATGGAGGTTCCTCAAAAAACTAAGACTAGGACTACCATATGACCCCACAGTCCCTCTTCTGGGGGTATAGCCCAAGGAGTATCTCAAAGAGCTATTTTTACTCTCATATTCACTGCAGCATTATCTACAGTATCCAAGACATGGAAATGACCTAAACATCCATAAACAGATGAATGGATAAAGAAAATGTGATGCACATACACAGTGAAACATTATTCAGCTTTAAATAAGGTAATTCTGCAATTTACAACATAAATGAACCTGGAGGACATTATACTGAGTGAAATAAGTCAGATACAGAAAGACAACTGCTACATGATCTCACTTACATGTGGAATCTAAAGTAGTGGAATTCATGAGAGCAGAACAAACAGTAGTTGTTGGAAGCTGGAGAGAGGGAAACATGGAGGTTGGTCAAAGGATACAGATTCTTTTATACAAGAGTAAGTTCTGGGCATCCAATGTACAGCACGGTGACTATGGTTAACAATATTGTATGCTTCAAATTTGCTATCACTATAGATCTCATTGTTCTCACCACAAACACAGTAATGAGATGTGGTGATGAATATGTCAACTAGCTTGGCTGTGATGGTCATTTTACAATGCATACATATATGTCAAAACATCAAGTTGTACACCTTAAACACATACAGTTTCTATTTGTCCATTCTATTCCAATAACACCACAAAGAGAGGAAAGAACACAGACAAATCCAGAGGGAACTCCGAGATGGGGAAGGGACCTGGGGCTCAGACTTGAATCCTGGTTCCCATGCTTATCTGCTGTGCATCCCTGGTTTGTCACCCTCTCTGACACCTACATCAAAGTTATTATTGTGAGGTTCTTGTGAAGACCAGTGAGTAAATCTCAACAAAACTCACCCAGGCCAGTGCCTGGAGCAGAACAAACACTCAGAAGTATGTTATTTCTGAGTACTGGCTCCAGAAGCAAGGCACAAGTTAACCTGCCAGGGCTACTGTGCATGTTGATCAGATGATAGTGGACCGTGCCTAGCTGGAAGTTTCTATGAAGCATGAGAACAGAATGGTTACCAGAACATAGAACATGAAGCATGAGAACAGAATGGTTTCCAGAACATAGAACATGAAGCATGAGAACAGAATGGTTACCGGAATGGAGAACATGGAACATGAGAACAGAATGGTTACCAGAACAGAGAACATGGGAGGCAAGTGCCTGGGAAACCCGCCACTCCCAGGAAGAGGGCCACAGACCTGTCCCTCTGAGGTTGAGGACGGCAGCTGCTGCCCTCCCCAGGGGTGCTGGCCTCCCAGGGAAGGGGGCTGCTGGGGAACTCATTCATTCCACCCCCCGCTGGCACTCTCCTAGGCACATGCATTCAGCAAGCAAGGAGGACAAGATCCCTGCCCTCACGAGGCTACAACCTAGCACGAGAGATGAACGAGTAAATGAGTAAAATATAAAACAGAGTAGTCAAGCCAGTGAAGAGTCCTCTTGGTGCACATAAAACAAGGGTGAGGACTGCCATTTTCTGCAGTATGACCAGGGAAGGCCTCCGTGAGGGAGGAACATCTGAGCAGAGATGTGAAGGAGGTGAGGAAGCCAGTCATGAGGCATCTACAGGAACAGCGTTCCAGGCAGAGGGAACGGCAGAGGGCGGGAGGTCAGGGCACGCTTGGGGTCGGAGGCCCTGTAGGAGCGCCCAGTGTGGAGAGAGCCAAAGGGCAAGCGGCAGGAGGTGAGAGCTCTCTCCCAGCACCTGTGGTGGCAAGGGGCTCGGAGGCCAGATCTCATGGCCTGTGGCCCCAAAAGGCCAGCAGCTCTGAAGGAGGTGATGCCCAACAGACTGCATGGCTGCACCTGTGCACCTGCTCACCAGAAGCAGGGATGCGCACAGTTGGTGCCTTCCAATCTGCATGCCAAAGCTTCCCGCGAGGGGCCAACAGCCCTGGCACACATCTTCCTTCCCTAAGATTCCTCACTCTGCCCTGTCACCTACCCAGCCAGTGGCCTCCGTCTCTCATACACCCTCTTGATTGGTCCTCCAATAACCAGGGCTTGGCCCATCCTCCAAACCTTTCCTCAGGTCTGGCCCTCTGGACAATATCACCCTCTCCATCCCCAGCCTAGCCCACACTGCTTCCTCCAGGCAGCCTTCCCTGACTCTTCCCAGTCCCTTTGCTTCTGCCCGGTCCTGAGCTCTGGCAGCACCTACAGCCAAGGCCCAATTCTCGCCTGCCTTGGGAAATGGCCCCATGCCTGGAAGCCTGAGGTGGCACCAGGGTGAGAATCTGGGCTTCACACCTTGCCAGCTGTGTGGTCCTAACAAGCTGCTATGCCTCCCCAAGCCTTCATTTCCTCCTCTGCAAATGAGTGTGTCCATCTAGCAGGGCTGTTGACAATTACAAAAAGCATAGTTGAATGAGCTCTACAGACATTATATTCTTCCATATCTCAAAGATTCTGCTAGTGAAAAATGGAAAGAGTGAAAGGTACTCTAAGAACACCAGCACCTGGCTGTCAGCAGTAGCAGTTGTCTTCATAGTAAGCGGGTGGGCAGGGTGGGGGACTTGCTGAGGACCGTGCTGTGTCCATTCCCGGCTCCAGCCCTAGGGGGTAGACGGGTCACAGCCCCATTGTCTGGATGAGGAAACTGAGGCATGGAGAGGATTATTTTGCCTAATGTCAGTTATTTCATGCAAGAATCTGACACTGTGTTCTTAACCCCCACATTCTGTCACTCTTCTGTAGAAGCTGGAGAATTTCAGTCTGTCACTCCCCAAAGGGAAAAACAAGGCGTGGAGAGAGTCACACAAGCACGCACAACGTGAGAAGCAGAGCCGGGGGCTCAGAGAGCCCCCTCTGCCCTGCAGGCTGAGGTGCAGGCCTGGGGCTGGCCACTGTCCTGGGGACTGACACTGCCCAGGGCCTGAGAGCAGGCGACTCACGCGATGGCAGGCATGTAGTAGCTGAACTTGGCCAGGAAGTCCGGGAGGCTGAGTGGCTTGTCCATGCCGATGATGTTCTGCAGCTCCTCTGCTGTGTTGGCAGGGAGGGGGACCCCCCTCTTCCTGTGGACAAAACAACAAGGGAGGTGGGCTACCCCCGGACTGATCCAACCAACTCCTCGGAGGCCACAGCAAGAACTCTGGGGACCTCTCCATCCAACCCCTCCCATCTGGACAGGTGGGAAAACAGGCCCAAGGCCTACAGCACCAGGACCGGAATCCTCCCGGCACCTCCTGTCTCCAAGGCCAGACAGCCTGTGAATCTCAAGGGCAACAACCAGGGCCAAGTCCATTTGTACATGTGAGCCCACACGCCTGCTGCCTGAGGACAGGTCATACCAGGACAGGCCTGCATCTTCTCCTCAGCTCCAGGAATGGTGGAGCCAGCTGGTCCCATGCCAGGTCAGGGGTTACGAGGGACAATAGTGCAGGCCACAATACCCGGTGCAGGGACAGGCACCACACTTCCCTCCTCTGCCCTCCGCCCTGCATCTGGACAGCTCTCAGACTGGCTCAGGGTGCTGGGAGAGGGCTGGGTGGAGGCACACGCGGGGGTCAGGGGTTGCTGGCCACCCACCTTAGAGCTCATTCCTGTCCCTTCCCACAGCCCCTGCATGGGGCTGGACCTCAGTCACCACGCAGTAAGGGCTTGCCGAGCATGGCCCTTCTGACCTGGAGCTGCCCTTCCCTATTAGTGCCTCTTTTTCCCCCGGACCAGCAGAAGCAGGGTGTGAGGTCAGGCTGGCTGCCCTGCTTCTGGGTGCTCCAGCCTTCTCTGCACTTCCTGGCTTATGGGTCACCCTGAGCCTCACTTTCCCCACTTTGAAAATAAAAGGGACAGGCAAAGAACACCAGACATTCTAGAAATGCTCCTACCAGGAGGGACCAAAGAGACAAAAGGAACTCAGGAAACAATGCAAAGAAACCTTTAAAACCCTAAAACAAAGAACCTCAAGGAAATAAGAAGATGCTACGTCCCTGAAACAAGAACATCCATTTATTCAAAAGGGGACCTTCAGAGAGTAAGAAAGAGCCCTTGGAAATTTAAAAGAATATGGAAGCAACCATCAGGCTGTAATAAAAGGAATGGAAAATAGAGTTGAGAAACTCCTCCTGCAAGTAGAACAAACAGTAAAAATAGTAGTTAAAAAAATTAGGTGATTAAGTCAGGAGGTTCAAGCACCCAGTTATCCACAAAGCAAGAACAATATAGAAGGGAAGAAGTTATCAAAGAAATGGAAGTTTGAACAAAGAATATTTAAGCCCTTCTGTTATTAAAATATCTCCCTACATAAATACCTGTTCCCTAAGCCCCCTAAATGCGCCACCTTCCCCTTCTGGGGGCCCAAGTCCCTACAAGTGCCCAGTGGTTACCACCAGGAATCACACTAGTGTCCATCAGCCCACCAGGCAGCCTGCTGCCGCTCCCCTCCAGCCCCACCAGACACTGAGGGGGAGCCGGTGCCCCCGTGCAGTCCTGCCCCCAGGTCAGGCGCTCGGTGCCCCTCGAGCCTTCCTCTGCTGGCCAGTCTGCCCGAATCACCCTCATGAGGCCATCCCCAGTGATCGTGGCCTCTGCAGAGCCTGTACCACCTGCTAAATACTGTACTTTGGATATCATTCTGGGAGCTGGCGGGTGGAAGGCAGAGAAGGGGACGCGAAGGCTCTGGCTCACATGTGGCCACACTCTCCTGGAGCCCCCTGGGACCTGCTAGGTGTGAGTCTCCTGGTGTCCGTACTCCCGCTCCCCCCACTGCCAGGAGGGGCTCTTCCTCCGGACCACTCTCTCTCGGACTTCCTGTTACACACCTGCCCAGGTGAACTCATCCCTTTGCATGGTTTTCAGACCAGCATCCAGAGGTCCACAGCTCCCTGGTCCCTGCCTCTACACACAGCCACTCGAGGGCCTGTGAGGTGTGGGCACCGGGTGGGTAGCAGTAGCTAAGACAGACCCACGTGTGTGACCACCCCCTCGCAAGGCAGGCATCCGATGACCCCTGCATCTGCCCAGCTGCCCAGACCAGAGCCGGGCCTCCCCAGATGCCGCCTGCCCTGCCCGTCAGCAGCCAGTCCCCAGACCCTTGTCATACTACTTCAGCTGCCCTCCACTGGCCCCTTCTTCTCCAGCCTCTCCCCTCACAGCCACGAGAGACCCTTTTAAGTACACAGATGACCTGGGAAGGCCTTTCAGAGGTGACATTTAAGCAGCAAAGTTAGAGAGTTGGAAAGCGGTGGACGGCACATGTTTCCAGGCCGGGAAGCACCTGTGCTGAGGGCTCCAGGCAGAGCCAGCAGGCAGAGGGCAGGGAGGGCGGCTGGCGCTCAGTGCTGGCCCCGTGGTAGACGACTTGCCAAGAGCAAGCAGGGCCAGAGGGTGGGCTTCGTAGAGGCCAGGACCTCATCCCCAAAGCCCCGGGAAGCCACCAAAGGACTTCAAGCAGGGGAGCAGTGTGAAAAGCTCCGCTTTAAGAGCCCCTTCTGGCGGCCGTGTGGGGAACATGGGAGGGAAACCAGAGCCGGAGCTGCGGTGGGGAGTGCTGGGGCAGCCATTGTTCAGGCTCCTTCACCCGGACTGGGCCGCCCGAAGCTGCTCCAGCTGAGCTGCACAGCTCCCCTCTGAGGCCTGAAGCTGAGGCAGGACGGAGTTGCTTCTCCGTCCCTGTCCTGCCACCCACAGCCACTCTCAGCGGCTGCGGCTGTGTGTGGGACCAGGCTCCGTCCCCAATGCTCCCTCCCCCCAGTCAGCGGTGGCCGGGTTCTGGGGGCCCTCCAGTCCTCTTCCCACCAGGGTGGGCCACAAGCCCGTGAGGAGCCCAACTAGGCAGCCCGGTGAGGACGAGGAGCTCAGGCTTTGGAGTTCAGTGTCCTTTGCCTCCCGCGTCTGCCAGATCTCCCTGGGCATGGGCTGTCCCCTCTGAGGACCTCCATGTCCTTGCCAATAAAACAGACAGTACCTCCTTTGCAGGGTACAGAGCAGAGGAAATGAGGCTATTAGTGTCCAGGGAGACGGCAGGCTCCAAAGCCCAGTGGCCCGAGTTTGAATCCCAGCCGTTACTTAAAGGCTGTGTGACTGTGGGCAAGTGACCCTGCCTCTTTGTGTTTAGTAGGTCTGGCAAGTTTGAGAAACATCTGGCACAGACTAAGTCAGAAGCAGAAGATACCAGAGCTAACACATGCTTGCATGCTTTGTAAGACTTTGAGGACCATGTGCGGACTTTGGCTCTGACCCTGAACAAGGCCAGTTTGAGCAGGGGAATAAGCTGATCCACCTGTTTTAAGACAATCGTTCTGAGTACAGCACTGTGGGGACAGTAGATGGGGAGGCCAATCAGGAGGCCACAGCAATAGTCCAAGTGAGGGAAGGTGGCAGCTCAGGGCAGGACAGTGACGGGGAGCAGAGCAGCCAGGTTCAGAATGTGCTTTGGAGAAAGAGCTGACGGTCATGAAGGAGACTGAGAAAGAGGTAGGAGAACCCCCCAGAGAGCACAGAACCCCAGGGGCAGCAGGGAGAACACAGTCAACTGAGGCCCAAGTCACAAAAGCAAAAAAGGAACCACTGGAATTGGGGGCACGTCGGAGACCAGAAACTCCCCTCCCTCTCCAGCCCAGCCCACCAGGGAGCCCTCCAGGGTTTATGGGCACCCCTATCTGAGCCTGACAACTCCCTGGTCCCCCTGCCTCCTGACCTTGAGCTCAAGCTCCAGCTGGCACCTATACCCTCTCCAGGGCCACTGAGGCACCATGGCTGCTCCCAAGATGCCAAGGGTATCATGGGAAACTGGGAAATAGAATCTGACCCTCTTCCCTCCACCCTGCCCCACATTTTCACCTCCTTGTCTAATGAGCTCTCTATCACCCCTTAACAAGTGCCCATGATTGATAATTCACCCTAATGGCTTCCTTGCCTGAAGTGAAGAATACCACTAGACGTGCACAGAGATAAGCTAAGTGACTTCACCGCAGTAGCCAGAGCTACAAGTTATAATTAATAGCATTAAGTGACATTTATGGAACACAGTGTGCTCGGCCCTGAGCTAAATGCTTTACATGCAGAACTTCACCTGAATCACGAGCTAGCAGGGGTAGTGGTCAGGGCCACGGACTTAGGGGCACACCTGTGCTCACTAGACAAGTTACTTCACCCGTCATGGCTGTTTCTTCATCCATAAGTTGGGGATAATAGTACCTGCTTCTCAAATTGCGAGGTTTCAAAAAGTGAACCCAGGAGCAGCGCAGAAAGCCACACTTGGCCCACAGTCATGCTAAAATACTTAGATTGTAGCTAGATAAAAATTGGATCAATAGCAGCCTCCTAGGGCAGAAAAGGTTCTCTGATGCTGAGATTCCAGAACTCTCAGGAAATTGAAGGGATCACAGATTCTCTTCTGAGCGGCAGTGTCTGAAAAACTGGGAAGTTCTGGGTTACAGAGCAGTTTTCAAATGGGGGGTCCAGAGCTGAACTGCTCAAGGCCCTGAGGGGGGAGGCAGAGTCCTTCCAGCTCCAAACAAGATGAGTGTTGAATGAACACATGAAGGGAGGGGTGGCATGACTGAGGGGACCCCACGTCCCAGGTCAGCTCTGGAGGAAGTCCCCCCTCTTACACAGAGGCCAAGGCACAGCAGGGGAATAGTGTGTCCATATTTGAATCCACACACACTGGCCTCTAGAGTCCCTACGCTTAAGCACTAGACCTAAGAAAGGGGCTACCATTAGCCCTTGAGGTATGGGGAGCAGGGGTGGGTGTCCCTTACCAGGGGTCCCTGGGGACCCTTGGCTTATCAGCATCCCCGTGAACTGAGGCAGGACGTGTGGTCTGATGAGGAAGATGCAGAGATTTAGGCCCAGAGAGGGAACGCCACTTCTCCACATCTCCCAGCAGGTTGTTACCATGGTGATGTGGTAACACTGATCTGCAACTCTGGAATTCTCTGGGTTGACTGGTGGGACCCACCCAAGCCCTGGGGAGGAAGCCTCTTATCTGTGGACGTACCTGCCATAGTATAAGATGGTCTCGGGCTTGATGGCCCCATCAAGGTGGACATGCAGTTCTACCTGCAAGGGGGCAGAGGGAGAAAACAAGAATGGGTGGGGAGAGAAAGAAAGAAAACACACACCCATGAACGCCTGAGGGGCGTTTCAGAGGGTTAGCGTTCACATTACCATGACAACCACCACACAAGGACACTTACCACATACACATCACTAAATTCTTCACACACACCATCCTGCTTAATCCTGTGTGTGGGGAGGGTTTAATGGTTATCTGTAGTTCACAGTTGAGACCTCAGAGGCTCTTAAACAAGGCCAACCAGTCTCACGGAGCTAGGGAGCCCGCATCCACCACGCAGGCAGGTCCTGCTCTCAGCCTACTCACTAAAGAAAATCCAACTTAAACAGAAAGGGTTGACTGAGACTTCCTGAACTAGTGAATACCCACAGTGTATTTCAAAAATCAGGTTCCATTTTCAAAAGCAGGTACTACCTTAGTATAGCATCTCAGGAATCGCTATTAGGCAAAAAGATTTTTCCAGTACTCTAGGAAGGATACTGGATACTGGGCATCTTGGTGATCCTCTCCTACATGTTCAGCCCCACAAATACCCCGTGCACACTGCCAAGAGGGTAAGGACTGGGGCTTGACTCCCAGCTCTGCCTCTTTTGGCTGTGTGACCTTAAACCAGACACTTGTTCTCTCTGAGCCTTCGTTTCCTCAACTGAGAAACACGGAATACTTCCTCCCTACCCAAGAACGACTGTAAGGATTAAAGATGACTGCGTAGGCAGATCTGCATGGTCCTGGGAAACAGCCCCGGCCTGTCACAGCCAGAGAAGCACAACAGGTACTGAGAGACAGCGGGTAGTGACCTCGCCATCTGCTTGTTCCAGGTCATACAGGAAACTTCCAAGGCCAGAGGAGATCCAGAAAACTCCCAACTGACATCTCCACCAGCGCGGGGCTTTCTCTAGAACTTGGGAGCCTGGACAAGAAAGCAGCTGCCCTAGCTAGGGAGGAACAGCCCTGGGAACACCCCTGTGAGCTGCCTCCTGCGGAGGACACCCAGCCTGGGAGCCCCAGGGACAGAGCCTCAGAGCCCTCCTGTCAGCAGGAGGCCCAAGTGATCAATCTTCCTGGAAGTCACCCAGCTGGCAAAGGACCGAGTAGTGCCCCACACCCAGGCTGGGAATCAAGCGAGCTGTTGGCTTCCCTGACAAACCCCGTTCAGTGCCTGCTCAGCCAAGTGTTTACTGGATTCTCAAAAAGTGCTTGGAGAACACGGAAGCTTCCAGTCCAGGGAACTGTCAACCTTGTGTGACCTTGGACAGGGACCTCACTCTCTGAAGGAGGATGTGCCAGATGTTTCCTTAACCCTCACATGGCTGTGGCAAGGATCTAGCCAGAGAGCCAGACTCCCAGCTCCTCAGCTCGCCCCCAGGATGCTCTGGAGGAGGTGACTGCCAGTGCTGTGGCATTCTCACTGTCCAGTGGGGACGATAACAGCTTCCTCCCAGGGCTTTGTAAGGCTCAACCGTGTTAATGCACACAGTGTGCTTAGGCCAAAGCCCAGCATATAGCAAAGGCTGAATGGGCATGCAGAGCCGTTCATTAGCCAAACTGTCCAGGTCCTGACAGGTGCCAGGAATGGAGAGGTAAGCTTAAGGCACACAGTCCCGCTTCTGTGATGCTTACAGTCCACCAGGGGAAACATTAAGTGTCACACTGATATGCGCACAACCCCAGGCCAAGAAAACTCCCCCAGGAGCACAGACAGTCCTGTGAAATGTAACAAACAGAAGAACTTACCAGCTAGAGGGTGAACAGCCCCTTCCAGGAGAAAGCGGAGCTTGAGCTAAGATCTGAAGGATGAAGAACCACCACCGAGGCAAAGGCAGGAAGAGCATTCCAGTCAGAGGGAACAGCACAAAGGCCATGCAGTGGGAGAGGACATGGGTGGGCCGTAAACACGGGGTCACAGAAGGCAGGGTCACCGTGCCCGGCTGAGGCCCAGAGGAGGAGCTGGGTTTTTACCTGAGAGTGCAGAGCAGCCGTGACAAGGCTTGAAGCTGGCCAGAGGCAGGAGACGACTGACAGCAAGACCAGTGAGAAGCAGCCATGGTTAGGGTTACGAGATGGTGCCTGGGACCAGCGCGCCGAGGCAGGCATGGAGGAGCGGGTGGACAGGAAGCGTGTCAAGGGTGCTGCTTCAGTGTGGGCCTGGGTAGGCAGGGATTCCCACCCCCGACTCGGAAAGCCCGGGAAACATGCTAAGGGGTAAGGAGGCATGGGGTGGGGAGAGGCGGGGGAGGTCTCAGCTTAGATTTGTTAAGTGGTGGTGCCTTTGAGACCTCCAAATGCAAATGGAAGGAGCCAAAGGAGGCGAGGTTCTGGAGGTTTGAGAGATTGGGGCTGGATTCATAAGTAGGACCACAGATAACTGAAGCAGTGGCCCGAATGAGTTCACCCAGGGAGAGAGCATGAGAAGAGGGTCTGGGATGAAGCCTTGACAAGTGCCAGCTCCCAGATGATGAGCCCGGAGAGGAGCCGTGGAGAGGTGGGTGGGGAAACCCAGGGCACGCTGTGGGGAAGGCAAGTGGGATCAGACCCCCAGGGGGCAGTGTGGCCACCAGGTTAGCACAGAGTGGGAAGTGCCCTCACCCCCACCCCCACCCCAGGGATGCCTACATCCTAATTCGCGGAATCTGTCACTTTACAGGGCAAAAGATGTGATTAAAAAATCACATGAGTGGAGAAACTTATCCTGGATTATCTGGGTGGGTCCCAAATGCACTTGTCCATTTTCTTATCAGGAAGGCAGAGTGTTTTGAGACAAACAGATGCACACACATGCGCGCACACACGTGGAAGCAACATGGCCACAGAGGCAGATGGGAGTGATGTGGCCACAACTGAGCAACACCTGGAGCCACTAGAAACTGGGCGAGGCAACAACTAGACCCCTCCCCTAGAGCCTTCAGAGGGCACACAGCCCTGTGACACCTCCATGCGGGACTTCTGGCCTCCAGAACTCTGCACACATTTCTGTTGTTTTAAGCTACCCAGTGTAGGCTAATTTATTATGGCAGCCACAGGAAACTAACACAGTTGGGTCCTGCCAGAAGTCAAGGAGGAGGACAGCAGAAACATGTCCTTGGGGCTAAGAACAGGGCACGGGGACCCCCCGAGGGGTGGCTCTCAGCCCTGGCTGCCCACCTGGGAAGCTGTGGAGAGCTGCAGGTGCCCGGGCCCACCCCAGGTAGTTCAATCACGGGGCAGTGGGGTGGGGGCGGCACTAGGCACAAAGCCAACATTGAGAACCGCTGCCAGAAAGGAACAATTCTAGAGGATTGAGGGGCAGCATCCAGGCTGGAGTAAGGGAAGAAATAAGTAGAGGTAAGAAAATGGAGAAAGTTTAGGCCATTCTTTCAAGAATTTTACCCCTGAAGGGGACAAATGGGCCTGGGAGGGGAAAGGAGGTGTACATGGGTTGAGAGTTCCTTTTTAAAAGGTGGGGATGGTGTTGGCAAAACTGGACAGCTACACGCAAGAGAATGAAACTGGATTATTGTTTAACCCCATACACAAAGGTAAACTTGAAATGGATTAAAGACTTGAATGTAAGTCATGAAACCATAAAACTCTTAGAAGACAACATAGGCAAACATTTCCTGACTATAAGCATGAGCAGCTTCTTCCTGAAC